CTACTAGCTCTGTTTGAGTAATTCTCCATTACAGACTAGTAGGCTTCATCCAATCAGGGGGTTATGCAACTTGGCACACGAGTAGCACCCTTTTCTTTCATCTATATATTTTTTTCTAAGTTTTTCCACATTTATCATGTCAGCTTTTCTTTATATTTCTCTTTCAGTTATGTTTTATATGAATAGTTAACAGTACAGCGGCAACAATAGTAGTAAAGGAAACTGGAACTGGATGGATAGAGGGATGGGTGGAGTAAAGAATGAATAACTTATTATTGCTTTCATAATGAGTTGTTTGGGGACTGTTGGACAGGAGATCTCTCAGCGGGTTGGGTTTAAACTGATGTATCCATGACTCAGGGTTCCTTTTTGTTCACTTTTTAATGTAACACAAGTACAAGGCAACATAATAAAACACGGTCTTGGCAATTTAAACCTGCCACACCTGTCTTGAGCTGTATGGCTGGTGAAAGTGATCATACGACTGAGGTTCAAACATTACATCAGACGCGCGGCTCGCTCATTGTTACAGGCCAGCACTGTAACAATGATTAATACCATGTTCTCTACCGTTGAACACATTCAGGAATGTGTGGCCAAAGGATAGACCAGAACCAATGTGGCCTTTAGCCTTTTGGCATGTAGTTCTCTATGCTCATAATAAACAAGTACTGTCTTTGAGAGAGACCTTGAATCATCTAACATGATGTGGAAAACGTCAATTGACTCTAACTTGATTGTGGAATTAGCTGTGCGCTGTGGCATGGATCCCTGAGCACGCAGAGAGACCTAAGTTATCAGTGCTTTGCATGGCTGTGGAATTTTCTACTTACTTGTGAGATTGCTTTAGTGTAGTACCATTCAGGCGCTCTGTCCTGATGAAATTGTCACCTCAGTTGTGGAACTCTGACCCCTTTTACACGAGGACGATACGGGTTGTATCCGCATAGTTTCTCTTGCGTATAGCCCTTTCGTTTACACAAGGCCATAACAAAACGATAGAAACGGACCCCGCAACGATAACGGGTCCCAAGGTGGATAGATCTGCAAACGGAGCGCTCTGGGGGGTCAAACAGCTCCGTGTAATTGCCTCTATACGATAATTTCCCGATAGATGAAGCCATAGCCCCACCTCTGCTGCTCACTGCTGTAGCATGGTCAGTAGCTACTGCTAGTGCTACTGCTACTGACCATGCTACAGATGTTAGTGCAAAATCTACAGCTCCTCTCCTCTACCACAACCATCAGCCATGGACATGGAGAATTACATGAACTACATGTTGCTAAATCCACGCGGGGCATAAACAGAAGGGCAACCATGGCAACCATGCTCCGGGGTCTTCTTCGCTGCTTTTGGTGTATTTTGTGGCGGCAGCAGCGCCGCTTACAGGCCCGCTGTATGTACTACAGCGTTTCCAGCGGTCTCTTGTGAATGGACACGTTAAATGAATCGAATGCGTGTGAACGGAAATTTACGGAATACTTTTTTGAAAACGCATACGGTGCGTAAACGCAAACGTTCCCGTGTAAATGGGGTCTCAGATTCTTGTAAATGTTTTTCTTTAGAACAAACGAAGGAACAACTACCTAACTGAGATTTTTTGGTGGGAAATGTGGTATGTCATGTCATTGCATCATAAACTGCTGAACATGATGTCTATGCGCTAGAAACAGCACTGTCTCTTTTATTGAACTGATGCTGCTCACTGACTTACTGAATGTCCGAAGAGATACTTGTGGTAGTTTAGAATGCCAGGAATGCGGTGGCTAATTGATTAAGTCAGCGGAGGCTACTGGGTTTTCATGCTGTTTGCGTTCTAATATGTGCAACCATGCTGCCATTTGTAAACACATTCTGAAGCTAATGATATATGATTTGTTTTCCATAAGAGACAGGGGAAGAGCTATGTTTTATATATTGCTAATTTATCCATTCCTACAACGCAATCTTAAATGAATATTGTGTAAAAAATCTTGGTTATAGCTTCATACCACACATTTCTGAAATATTTATCTACTGTGGTGCAATACCAGTCATTTGTCTTTTGGTGGTCGAAGGCATGGCAGACACTAAGTGAGTGTTATTACAGCTTTTGCACAGAATATGATATATGTTTTCTTCAGCAGTAGGAACAGAATTGACATGCAGCACAGGTTTGTTCACAGTCTGACCAATTTTAGCTGCAAATTGAGAGTAGCCATCTCCATAGAGCAGACAATTATATTTGACTTGAGCAGTAAATGACACACGCACACTCTTTACTGTAAATACACATAAACTCACTCACATTTTTGCTTGGGTTTTGTTTTTCTGTATAACTATTGTTGCTATTGTTCGAGTCAAACTGGGAGTTGGCCTCGCTCACATCCAGGGTGGAGAAGCAGTTACATCAGCTGAACTAGTGTTAGCCTCCATTTCATACATACTGTACCTCCATGAACCTTTGATTTCTAATATTAAATAATATGTTTAAATTGAATATTGCTTTAAACGGTTATTTTGTAGCTTCATATGCTGACACAGAGACCCATATTCTTCCAAAATCAGATCATTTGTGGGAGGTTTAATACTTATCCTTACAATCTGTTAGAGGTGCAGACATATTTCTTCCATAACTCCAGATGTTTTATCCTCTTCTCACCCTACAGCTGCCCCTAGTCAGTATCCCACAAATCATCCCTTGTCCAGCCTCCCCTCCCACCCCCCTGCCCACATTTCCAAACGTGATGTGTGGAGCCCTGTCAGATCCCTCCATGCTCTTCCATGTTGACAGATTCTCTCTAATGAGTGGGAGAAACTATCACTCATCTTCTGACACTCGCAGTCAATCCAACATCCTGAGTTAATTGTTTGTTTTCCTTTCTTAACTCATTCCCCTAGCCGATTCTCCTCGAGGCATTTTCACTCTCTAGACTTGTTTTCACGTGACGTCTCGTAGTGGATACGAAACTGTGCATATGCCGTATCACTTTACAAGGTGGAGATGGGGTTTGAGGGTCAGCTGTGTTGAACCCCCATGTGCTCATGTCACTGGAGAACTGGAGGAATCCCAGTTATGTACAGACACTATTAATGTTTGCACGCAAGGATGCATGCAATTACAGGGGCACATTCATATAAGATCAGCTAGATACATGCATCTCTACCTGTCCATAGCTAAGGGCTCAATATCCTCTCGGTAGTAGGGCCAGAAAAATGGCACGTTTGATTAAATAATTCTGCTTCTGTGACCTAACTAATATTTAAAATCAACTGGAGAGTCCCTCAGTCAATCAAGAGTTGTCGTTATCTTAGGACTCAATCATTCTTATCTTCCGGATGTGGCAAAAAGCTCAGCACAATGGTTGTGCACAGTGATTAGAACATTTTGAGTGTTGTAATGACGGCATGCTTTCAGTCAATGTGAGGAATGGAGGGGATAGCATGTGTCCGCTCAGGGAGTGCTCCCACTGGGAATCTCAGTCATCTCAAACCATATGTCTGGCCAGAAACAGAAATTCTCAAGCAATTGTGTGTGGGAGTCAAGATCACAGCCAGCCAAACTAGGCTTTTGAGACATAACATGTGTGTTTGTGAGTGATATTGTGTTCAGTGCATCTGAAAGTGCCTTTTCATAACCCCATCACTGAGCTGTGTTGTTTATGATCGGTCTTCCTCAGTTTGTTTTGGTCCAATGTTTTTTAAATCTCCTGCGTGTGTGTGTGCATGCTAATGTTGTTCACAGGGGCCTTTGCCCATGTGTGTCTGTGTGTGTGGCACTCACACTCACAGTGATCCATTCATTTGTGGCCTGGCACCCAGATAGGGGGTCTGCTTGAGAGGGACAGAGACTGAGAGAGACTGTTCGGACCCTGCACAGTGACTCAATGCTAGCTGTCTGCCTGGCACAGATTAGATCAACACTAATGAATATTCAACAGTTTACCATCACTGCCAGAATCTCCTACATCTTTACTAAAGTAAGAGATGAGAGCTGGTATTCTCTCCCACATTGTCCAAAAGAGAAGCTTCTTCTTAAGGACTTAAGGAAAAATAAATCAACTTTTCTGAATGTTTTGGTCTGATGAAAAATAACTAACTAGCTGGATAACTGCATCTACTATATCCAGGACCATTTGTTTGACTTAAGTCACAAACCAGACTGACCTCAGTTAACTTTGTGATCCTTCTTAATGATTTGAGCCCCGTAGTTTTTATTTTCAGAAACATTTTCATAGAACCTAGGTTTAAAATGGATATTCATGTTTCCATTAGTACCTGGAGGCCAGTCTTAACATTATATCCAAAATGTGTTCGGTTAGGTAAGATCTTTACTGTTTGGAGCACAGCTTCCTCTCCAATCCTAAACACATGTTCTCCACACAAAGACAGGAACTGTGCTGATCTAAACTATAGCTGACCGGAAAAGTGTGTTTTGTTTAGAGTTCAATGAATGTCTGACGAGTTAAAGGGCATGCTTGATATATGCCTCGATAAAGACAAAACCAAGGATCAATTCACAGCTGGCCAAAGACACTGAATGGAACTTGATAAGAATGAACTACTGAAAATATCTAGACCTTCAATTGAGGGGTATTTTAAGATTTTCTCTGTTTGTATGGAGTGTAGGAGTAGATTGGTGAATTGGAAAAAGCACACACTTATATACATGTGTGTTGATGAGTAATGATGTCTGTATCCCTGTGCCAACCCCAAGCCATGCCACTTTTAACCAAATGCAAGCCTGTAGGTACCTCTTATATGCCACTAATTGTAAGTGTATGTCACAGCGGTTTTAAAAATGTGTGCTGTAAATGGAGGGATAGAGGGGGATGTGTTTATCACACAGTGCACTTACTTTTTACTGGAATCTGCTCTAAAGTGTAGAGCCTGCGTGAAAGACTGAACGATTGCATTTTTAGGACTTCATTAGTGTTTATGTCATATTTAAGTTTTTTTGACAAAAACAAGTAGTCGTAGATCCCTGACTAAACCCTTCCCTCTCTCTTCCTCTCTGCAGGATGGTTCTTTGGGCAACATAGATGACCTCGCCCAGGAGTACTCTGAGTACTACAACACCTGCTTCAGTGACGTTAGTGACCGCATGGAGGAGCTTCGCAAAAGACGAGTCTCCCAGGAGCTTGACATGGTAAAACTGCACGCACACACACACACACACACACATGTGAAAAAGAAAAAACTTGTTTTGAGAAAACTGCAAATGGACAACATCGCTTTGGACAGATTGCATTTTTGTTTAAATAGTTTCTCCTAAATCCTTATTATTGGTTTAGTCCCATATCTTTGCACAGTGTAATTTATTTCCACAGTGTTAGCCAACAACTTGGCTAGAAACAACTGTAGCGGAACAAACATGAATGTGTGCTAAGGTTTAAGACTTTAAGCCAGTATGCCTTTCTGAATATGAATGCTGTGGTTTTCTGGGGATCCTTTTGGGGGGGGGGGGGGGTATAAGGGTCTTTCACAAGGATGTAGGGTAGTGGGGCACCCCTTTGGTTGCCATGCTGCAAACAAATGTCTAAAGGAATGTTGCTACAGAGGGCCAAGCTTCAAGCAGAACACTACCCTATAGGTCCAAAAATACAAGAGTTGAGTGTTATGCTAACTTCATAATTACTCTATGACTTATTCATAGTGAATTATATTGACACTTGGTATTTGTAATCATTTCTAAAACAATTCAATACAGAAAACCCCACTTGTTCTTAAAAGGCAGGCTCTACAACATTGATCTGCTTGAAAGAATGTCCATCCTAAATCAAATGAGGCAGTTTGGCGTCACAAATATAATAGAACTGCCTGAGGAAAAAAGGATTCAGTTCTCCCTTCAAAGATTTTACTTCCGCTGATATCACGTTACCTCAGCCTTTCTTATTTTAGCCCCTTTCAAAATCAAATTTTCTCTGCTCATATATTTATGTCTGTCATTACTGGTTTTCTAGTTAAATAGGAGGCCTCTTCGGTTCGAAGCAGCCATGTGGTTTTGGTTGGGTTGACAGGTATGGCTAGGGTGAATAGCTGATTTATTGTGCCCATCCTTTAAAAGACTGCAGGCAGACATCCCATACTCACAGTCTTCAGGAGTCATTCAAGGCAATTTGACTTGGATAGTCCAATCTCAAATGTTGTTCACAGTGCTTAACAATCTATAAAGCATAAATGTACTCTTGTATTTTTTGACCACCCCAACAAAGAAAACGGTTGCAGGATGGATAGCAAGTTATTATAAAAACATAGCTGTGTATATGTAGATGTCTTTTGCGTTTGTAGGTTGTATGACCCCTCTCTGTGTGGCCGTTGAGTTTACATTAATAAGGATTACTTCTGGACATTTTATAGTTTGAAAGGGTTTTACCCTCGGGAGATAAAACAGGGGGAGAGGAAGCAAGATTAAGATTTTGCATCTCAAGTGTAAGAAGAGAGGATCAGAGCTGACTGGGCTCTGAGCCTGAAGCCCAGGACAGGAGGAGGATAAGGATGTGAACAGAGGAAGACAAAGGGAGAAGGATGAGCGGATGAAGAGAAGGAGCGGAGAATGTGAGCCTGCAGCTGTCCCGCCACTCTGCAAAGTTTGGCACAAAAATATAGAAGGAGGGAGAAAAAACATGAAGAAGGAATATGGGTCAGGCAACACCTTATTGACAGCTCTCAAAAGGAAAGTATCAACCTACGCTATATGGATTGAACCTGGCCCTGCATTCCATTGCAGTCCTTTTCTAAAATTAGGTTTTGGGTATTTTCAAGTGTAAAGCAGCCTTTTCTATGTCAAAGATAAGAGTAGGTTGAGACGTGCCTGCTCTTAGGCAGTATTTTTCCACTGGACTTGATTTCTTCATAGATGGAAAGGCTGTGGCACAGTATCTGTAAAAATAGAAGAAACATTTGAGACAGACAGAGCATGAGAGACCAAGGTGAAGTGAGAATAAGACCCGCCAAATGGAGAACCAGTCAGAAAGAGAGTACCGAATGACTCGTGAAATGTGTCCAGAAATCAGAGGCCGCAAGCCAACGTCATGCAGCCTCTTCCCTTAGGAACAATCGCAGATGGTTAGAGAAGGTCACAGTGTCCAAGAGCCACTTTAATGGGGAGACATTTAGCAAGTTGCACTCCTGAGGGACTTGCCCTTTAGGGAAAGACCTGTCACTTGTAAAGGGTAAAGGAGGTGGGTGACGCAATCATATATCAACAAGACCTACTCCCTCTCCAGCCATTGTCTTTTTTCTAGCTCCAATTTTATAGGTCAGATCTGTCTTATTTTCGACGGACACTTCTAATGCCTTTATACACTTCCAAAATCACTTTTTGCATCACGAAGGAGTCTGTCCAGATAACGGGGGCAAAGTTCTCCTCAGCTTTGACCTCCTACTGGTCTTTACACTCAAGATTAAGAATGAAGGAGATGATGGACAAGGGGGTAATGCCATAAGAGGGGAGTCTTAGTTTGACATATGACAAAGTCTACATATTTTCTCACTTAGCTGACACCGCAATTTTCTTTTTAAAGAATCCCACAAAAAAGCACGAGTGTCTATCGTTTAACTGTGGTCAGCATAGAAAGGGAAAAAAGGAACTCAAAACTGTTTCTGTTCTTCAAAACTTACGAAAATTGTCTCTTGAATTAAGTTTTTCTTTCTTTCGAATGTTAACTCTTCTCTTCGACTTGAGTTTTTGTTTCCTTTCTTAAGAAACTATCTTGCAACACCAACATTTTACAAAAATCTCCGGCGGTTTCAAAATGGGTATTTTCGCACAATGAGCCTGCCAGCTCTTGAGAGGCCTCTTAATTGACACAGTGATGGCTGTCTGTTGTTGCAAACTGCTATTAGGAGGTGATGATAGAGGCTCTTTCAGAGATGACTATCAATGTGCCCACTTCCTGGCTGGATTCTGCTGAGTTGTTCCTATACATCTTCATGTTAGTTTTATGAGTAGCAGGGACACAAGGGGTTGAATAAACATCCCCTTAGGGAATGAGTCCTATGGATTAGCGCTACCATGCAGTTTCCCAGCGCTCCTATTGACAATGAAAGTTTGCATGACTCTCTCTGGCACACTGATTTGGTGATACACAGAGCTTCTTAGTGGAGGTGATCAGAAGTATTCAAAGAAAGCAAAGAGTTCAGCAACTTTGACAAAGCATGTTGTATCAAATGAATGGTCAAGCCAATTGAACAAATTGATCAATAGCTAGATCCATAAAGAAAGTTTAATTGTATTGTTGTTTTCTTTCTTTGCCTATTTCTGCCACTGCAGGTGAAAACATGCCAAAACATGAACATACAAGCTACAACAGAGATCTAACAGGCTTGCAGAAACTGGTCGGCAGTGTGAATCATTGTGTATAGCCGAAGGACAAACATCAAACTAAATATTAGCATGTCTCTCAAACCACAGCTATGGAAAAGATGATGTAGATCAAATATAAATCAAGATAGACTATTTGGAATTTGTGGTTGTGGGGCAAACTTTTAGACATTTATACCCGCTGTAAATCATAATTTATATTGCAACAGTATCTGTGGTTATTTCCCTGGGAGTAATGTTTAAGTTGTGGATAAACAACCAGGCCTTGAATATTGCATCCTTTGATGCTTTGGCCAAAATCCTTCTGTAGTTGGTTTCACTGTTGACTTCATAATCGAAACACTTTTGAAATGCCTCAGCTGGTGTCTGATTGATGTGCATGCCTCAGGAATGCTCTGTAATAGTTTTTTCTCGCCGAGTAGCTTGACATTTGGGGGTCAAGACTCAAGTACAGATTTTTGTTTTGTTTTGCCATGAGGCGAGGAACAGTGTGGTTAATGTGCTAAGGCCTGCGTGAGGTTTAATCGTCAAACTGGGTCAGTTCAGCAGGGTTAAAACTACAGTGTAGAAGAAAGACAAACTGTTGTGAATTCTGCTGTATATTTTTCCTCTCCACCTTCAGGCTCTTGCCTAGAAAACATAGCAACTAATCATGCTCAAACGACAGCCTGTGTGCTATTAGATTACTTAGAAATGGTGTTGGAATTGCTCCATTATTGCCATAACCCTTGTTGAAAGCAAGTGGTATATTTGTAATTTATTGATGTATGATTTCAACACTGAGATTGTAACTGTCACTTGGAGTTTGTAATAACTCTGGTATTTGCCTTGAATAACCAGAACAATGCTGATCCTCATGGCTTAGGAATGCTCCGTACCGTAGAAGTACAGGCCTCTGCTGCAAGTATGCACTTACTCTGGTTTATCCTGCTCACTAAGAAAATGTATTTCCCACTTGTGTGCCTGAAATGTAATGGCACTACATATTTGTTGGTCCATTCAGTGTGCGTACAGTCCCTCTTTCTGTGAGATCTTCCAAATGAGCCGGTTCTGCAGGCTTGCATTGCGCCATACTTGTACTACACACCGCTAACGTCTTTTTTGGACTTGCACCAGGCTCACCAGGTGGCGCCGGTCCCTCCACATGTGCAGTCCTACCTAGCAACTTCATACTCGCCCACCCAGACTTGCCAACCATGCCAGTTGGCGTACCTCCACTGAGCCACCTGGTCTCTCTAGCATAGCCGCATATCCGCTACTCTCGCCTCTGAGGTTGGCTTCAACTCCACTTTGGGAGCTTGTGTTTTTGGTGGGCATAGCTGACTTGTTTGGACACAACTGCTGCTTTTTAACAACCATCCGCATTTCTATCCCTTCCCTCTCATTAACAGAATCTGGTGCTGCTGTAGCAAAGCAGAGTTTAGCTGTAGTTTCTGGGTTAATGATGGAAAGCAATGTAGTGCTTGGAAACCCCAGAAGCGTTTGATGCCCGTGTGTGTGTGTGGTAGGCTTGTGTCAGATGCTAGATCCCCTTTCTGCAGACATAGTGATCCTCATTAGCTCCATTACTGCTTTCATTTGAACTCAATTCAATCATGCTTTAGCAATCAGGGCCTTGCGTTTGCAATGCGCTTGTACGTAGACACACACACACAATCAGGTTATTGAACACAAACAACCCTGTGGACATCTGTAGGGAAAACGCATGCACATTCACACGCAGAAGTGTCAATTCAGGGTAAGTAGGGCAGTATTTCAAGCTGATGCTGGTGAGTTCAAGTAGAGGATAGCATACCCCCTCCGGGAGAATATTGTGAGATCTAAGTCTCACATACAGATACTCCCTCAAACTGCATCGATTTGATATTTTCTTTTAGAGTCTGTGTCGGTTACGCTGGCACAGTCTTCACCGTTCACTTTTTCTTCTTCGTCGGAAATGCACAATTCTGAGAGAAAAAGTTAAACCTTGGGAAATCCCGCAGAAGTGCAGTTAAAGGCAAACGGGATGTAGGTTTTGTTTGTTGCAGATATTCTCATCTTTTCTCCCTCTCGCCCCCTCCTTCCACGCACAGAAGGGGAGTAAAGGGGAAAGCTTAGGAGGAGCAGTAGGAACAGAGAGCTGCTTTGTGTCTCTGTCTCCTAGGAGCTCTGTCTGTGGAAGTGGAGGCGAGTTGAGTGTGTGTAGGTGCTCCTGGTTTGGGTATCTGTCTAAGTTTATGTCTGTGGTGCCATGGATGTTGCTGTGTCTGGGCCTGTGTCTGTGCCTGGCAGGGTACTTTTCATGTGAGGTGTGTTTGCAGGAAGTAAGCTGACCGTGGGACAGCATGTTTTAAAAGAAACTTAACAACCAGTTGGCATGATGCCTGTAGTTTCCCATTTGGCAAGACTGGCATATCATTTCTGTCAGTGCACGTCGGAGAAGCCATCAAAGAGGATCTGATAGCAAAACCAATCTGCTGCTTCGTTTGTGAAATACTTTGTGACTGCTAGTGAGCACACACCTTGTTCCTTCTTTGTGGGTTTTTTTATGAGCACAACCACATTATTCCACACCATGCAGTAGGGCTGCTCGATTATGGCAAAAATCATAATCTCGATTATTTGGGTCAATAATTGATATCACAATTATTAAAAACGATTATCCATTTACTTTGAAAACATCAATTTATTGGAGAAAAAAAATGGAACAGTATGTTTTTAACAGTTGATTACCCTGAACTTTAAGTATAATTACACTGGAAAACCAATACAAAATAAATAATAATTAAAAAAAAGTAATAATAATAAAAAAATAATCGTTTTATTTAGATTACGTTGTTTTCGTAATCGTTGCAAGCCATAGTCGTAATTGCGATTTAAAATACGATTTAATTGAGCAGCCCTACCATGCAGTTGTTTAAACAGAGATGGCTGCCAAAGCTGTGCTTGTTTAAAGGGTACACGTGTTGTCTCTTTGTCTCACATACGCTCTCCCTCTGCAGAAAGAAAACACAGTTCAGTTCCATCCCAGATGTTCCTATATGCAGCCTGGCAATGCAATAAGAGCTAACCCTGTCGTCTGTAGGTCTGGTAGATGAGGATTTTATGATCTTAGAAAGATACCTGCTCTCTGACTTATGGGACTTGCCATACTCCCAGGGAAGGACAAATCGTTTCAGAGATTTCCCGACATTACCCGAGTTACTTTCCAAAGAAACATCCGGACCTGGGTTTCTGTCTTCTTGATTACTGTAACAGACAAATACCTAAACAAAGCAAATAGACTAGGAGGACTCAAAGATAAAGCCAGTCACACTGTCTCGCTGGCATCTTGACTGTCTGCCATAAATTGGATACTGTTGGGATAAGTATAGGGTTCAGGCTAATTTTGAGGCTTTTAGCCTACTCAGCACTGCTCTTATGACCTACAGGCTACAGACTCTCAAAGAGCTCTTAAAAGAGGTTAAGTCACTCAAGTCCCTTAACTATTATTCACTCACTGACTCATGCTTAGAGGGTTTGTGTGTGGAATGATTGTACCCCCTCACCCAGAGCCCGGTTGAAGAAGGTTAAACTACAGGTCACTCTGATAAGGAAGCATGACATAGGAAAGGTACAATGGGATTATTCAAGATACAGTTTCCTGTGACTGTTATCCTGTAATATAATATCTGGGTGTGGGGATACATGATGCACATTTCCCAGAAACAACCTATTTCCTATACTCTCTATTTGGGAAACTCCAGGTTTAACTTGTTTTGTTGTGGCAGCAGCCGCACGTTCCATGTTGTGATTTTTTTTCAACCTGTTTTTTTGGATCTTACCTACTTCGCTGATGTCATCACTTTTATCTTTGCATTCTGATCCTTCAATATGATAACTAGTTAAAATGCCACTTTGGCTGCCAAGGCTTATGACTAGTATTTAAACTATGTCCATAAGCTGGCATGAGAAAGAGTATTGGCATGTATTCCAGTATTCCTCCCCCCCTGAAAAAAAGTACTTATGAGAACATGTCTCTCGAGTATTGATAACACAGTGAGGGGTTTACCAGAGGAAGTTTAGTGTTATTTTTCATGTTTAGCAACAGTTTTAAAGAGGAACAGGATAAGAATAGATAAAGTCATATTAGTGCCTGTCTGTGAGATGGTCTCCTTCTGCTAAAACATTAAGTAAGACAGAAAGTAGAAACAGGAACTCTTAGTTATATGTGCTCCTCTCATAGGGAAAGCTCACCACAGAACTTGAACTTAATCATCTTTGTGAATAACCACCTCTGTCAGCATTCTCATGCCATAAATATACATACATATGCTAATATTTACAATCCTGACATATGGCATGCATTACTATTTTAATTTCCTTTTTAAAATATATTTGCTCTTGAATTGCCTCCTCCTGGTATCTCAGGATAAACCAATCTAATAATAAGGGCTTGTGTATCCTTGTTTACTCTCATTGCTCATGCCAGAAGGATTATAGCCACATGAAGGGTAAAGCCACATACAGTATTTCTCATTGTGCAGTGAGTAAGAAAAGGACCACTAGAAATTCACAATGTAGAAATAATTATAACCTCAAGGTTACAAATGCAATCCCTGCTCCACATTCTGAAAATCTGGTCACTACCCTTAAGCAAAGTGCTGACCCCATTTGTTTCCATGGTGCCTTACATTGCACAGCACTGGGTGAGTGTGATTAAAGGGTGTTGCTAATCTCCTCCATGAAAGTTCAAAAGCACACGAGAACACACGACCAAGACACAATGTACTTAATCAATCCCTCAGGGCCGCTCATTGGCCTTAAATAATCACATGAGGTTAAGTCCCAGTTGCACACTCGTTGTAATTGTTCAGTACAGTTTAAGCATTTGTTTTTAGAGAGACACATCTTTTAATTAGATATGTCATGATGAGGACACCTTCTTTACACATACAGTATGCTAGCAACAGCAAAGTGTAACAGGCCTAGCAGACACTGTTGTCTGGAGGATCTCTGCAACATTTTGTACGTGAAGAGCAGTTAAAAGTTGTGTTTTGTTCCACTGATTGTGTACAGTTTATTATTTTATGTTTCTCTTAAATCCATGGTCAAAGTCTGATTATCTGTTTTTCATTTAAGCCAGTTTGGCTATAGTGCTGCCATTGTATTCAGTCTTTTATGGTGTGTTGTATTTTCAAAGAATTGAGGAAACCTTGAAGGTGTTTCCTTGAATGGAGGGAGGCTCACGTCATTGCAAAACATACTCTGGGATTCATAAAGTCAATTACGTAGATTCCTTTTTGGATATCGTCTTCTGCTTGGGCAGTCAATACTTCACCAAACTACACCACCGCCCAGTGGTATTCTATAACCATCATAACAAGTATTGCAGGTTTGGGTACTTGAGGCAAGACTTGACTTGTCGAGTCGTCTCTGGGTGTGTTATTGGTGTGCGCACACGTGCTGGTGTTTGTTTTCACTGTCATGCACGCAGGTGTGTCTACATGAACCTAACCAAAGGACGTCTTTCCCACATGCAGGCATTATTAAACTCATAATAATCTTCTGTTGCTGCAGTCAACTGACCTTTCTTTTCATATGGAGAGATTGTTTTACCTTTCCAGTGTATATTCTGTGCTCACAGTTCATATTTCTTCAAGTGATTGATCTTTGACTCTGACATTTTACCTTCTTTCTTCTCCCTCTCATGCTATTTTGTCCAGGAGAAACAGGATCCAAGCACCACCTCCCAGCAGCTTCGTACTGAGATCCAGGTAAGCAGAGTCACTATGTGAACAAAGTATAAGCTTTACACTGTCAGTTTTACAAATTGTGGCACAAAGTAAATCTGACACCTGTTTTTTCTTCACTCTGTCCACAGGAATCATTAGGCTTCAGCAGTGAGGTGTCCACTCCAGAAACAGACAGAAAGTAAGTTATTTCCCCCCATTAAATCATGGTAACATGTGACCGTAGCCAGTGTGGAACCATGAAACGCGCTTGGATTGAAATGTGTGTCTGTTGCATGTCAAAACAATGTGCAGCTTAACCTGCGTCTGGAGCGCATCAAACCGTACACGCCTGTACACATAATCATGAATCATACTTAGCCCTGCTGCATGTCCGCAGCTAAAGATGGAGAGAACCAATGAAATACACTCGCCTCCATATGTAGCTCATGTGATTGATAGATCTCTTATGTGACAGCTTGTACAAAAGGTCTCTGACCTTGCCAGTGGGGAGAAGAGGTCAGCTCCTCAGGTGGAAAACAGATAGATAGCAATAGAGACAGGTTCAGCTAAGATTGATGTCAGTTATGTGAATATGAGTATTTCCTTTGAAGTTTAATCCCAAAGTTCTAATAATAATATAACGTAATTATATGCAAAATATCACCTTTATAATATTAGGAAGACAGTTTTTATTTGAGAATAAAGAAACCAACCCTCCACATTAACAGACATCCAACCTATGACCTGCAGTCGGTCCCCTGAGCTCCTTGGTCACATCCCTGCTGTGGTTAAAGGACAACACTAACTGCTTCCTTTAGTTGACCTGCGCAGTCGAGCTGCCATTCTCTGTTCTCTGGCTGTCCATGCTTCCTTCCTGCCTTTGTGTTGAGCAGGGGAGAGGGGGGAGACAGAGAGGGGGAAGGAGCATGAACGAAAGAGCAGGATGGAACCATGCATGGGTGGGGTTCCTTTTCACTGGTTACTGTAACACAAAGTGTGTGTTCATTTAAACCCACCACTGTGTTTATTTTGATGAATGTTATCCACCATGGCAAACCATGAGATCCATATTATACAATGTTATACACATTCAAAGCAATCAAAAATGGTTGTTACAACAGCTCTATAAATGCCCCGCTGTCAAACGGAATTAAATCCATTGCAGTCACTAACATTTAGCTTCTTATTTAAATTATTTTGTAATCCCTGTTCAACAAGACTTGGTGTAAAAAATATATTCAAATGTTTCCCTGCATCAGGATGTGCAAGGAGTTTTAAAAACAGAACAGATTGGTTCTAATGGTGGGGACCAGAAAATCCCCATTACATTTGAAGAAGAGATAAAGTGGAGACGCATAGATTAGTGCAGACATTTGGGGCCCACATCGAAATCCAATGCCATGTTTGCTAGGGTCAAAGGTTAAATAAATCTCAGTGTGCCTCGAGAATGATCTCCTTTATATCAATTTTATCTGGTGCTTGTTCTGGACCATCACCCCTGAGTGAACCCCAGTGGAATTGTCATGTTCACGTTACGACCACGTGCGGCAGAGGAAGCGCATACCATAGACATGATCTCTTCTCCCATGGCTGTATATGCTGCACAGACAAATGCTGTGGTTGATGGGAACCAGATGCCACATTTCAGATGACGTCTCTCTGCTGTTCGAGAAAGTCTCAGAAAGAGCCCCAAACTTCTTCCTATCGGTCCATTTTCTCTCTTTCCTCCGTTCCTATCATCTCTCAAAAAACATTCAGACTTTGTCACACCTCAAGTCTTCAGCTACACTCTAATTAAACTGTTCAACATTCATCCATCTCCTCACCCCTATCACTCTTTCTACTATGTATGTCTCATCCATTGAAGCCCCAGACTCAATTTCTGGTATGAAAGTTAAATATGAAACCGTTTATTTATTTTTTTAAACGTTTTTAGTGATTGAGGACAAAATGTTCCTCATCCGAACCTATTCTTTTTGTATCCATTCTTCTCTCATTCATCCCAGCTCTGTTCTCCTTTACATTGCCTATGGTCCAATTTGTGCTGAATGGGATTTAGCCAGAGTGATGTATCATGTGCAGAGTGATAGACAAGCCCCCTCAATTCCTCATGACACATTCCTCACAGCCTCAAAAGAAGCACGCTCCCATGCACAGACACGGATATCCCCATCATCGCCTCTCTGCAGGACAATAGGACCCAGAGGAGATTACCCAGACGCCATCTTGGACTGTGCCACCTCTCTGTCCGTGTCCCCTTGTCACGTTGTTGGCAGGAGGTGGGCACAACTCAGATAATGTCTGCTCTGCAAGTGGTGATGACAGAGTGCTCTAAGAAAGCTGGAAGGGTTTGAGACAGGGACTTCCTGTTTTGAAAGGTGACTGATTAGTGAGTTATTGTTGCAGAGAGTGGGCAGAAGGCTTATAAGTGAAGTTAACAGCGGAGGTAAATGGATCTTGATCAAAACATACACAGAAACATACCGTTTTTTGGCCCTTACGGTATGTAAGATTGTGCATTAAACGGCCTTTTTACTAGTGGAAACCCAGCTTATGCAACTAATAATCATGCAAATGTAAGCCGTGCCATGTGAAGAATCTGTGTAACAACGGTACAATGTTAGAAAAACCAAAGTACCTTGTTGGCATATTTACCACTTGTGCCCGAGTGTTGCAGCCCTCATGGAACTGCAATTTGCTTGAGAGTAGAGCACAGGAGGCCGTGAACACCAGCACAAGCTCAAAAACGTGCAGTTTTTATATTTGGTGTTTATATGTAATTTATTTATTTATTTCCCTGGATGTAATCTTCCACTTCCATGTGACCTTTGAACACTACTACTATAACCCCTGGAGCGGTCATCCCTCCACTCTTCCTGTGGACAATGCCACTGTCGCACTGGGTCGCTGCCTTTCATTGTCTCTCTACCAGATAACCGGAGATCACCTCTCTCCAGGTGGCCAGCCCTGCCGTCACACGATCACACCCACATGTGTGCAATGCTGTGATTTATGCTGAGTTTGCAGCTTTGTGTCCAAATCCGGCTTTGTGCTGGTTTATCATCTTTCCTGGACAGCAGCTCTGTCACACAGGATGCTAAACCTGTGAGTCATGCAGTATCATATGATGGCTTTCAAAGCATCATCACCTATTCAGTCAATCTTTTTTTATATATTGATATTATATCTGTGACATTAGGAGTTTTACCTGTGTCTGCCGTCCTTCTGAATGTTTTTAACACACCAAAAGCCATGGCGCACAGCAACAGAGCCTCATAGCTAGACAGGTTATGTTTCAAACGTCAATAATGCTTCACATCCTGGCAAAGGAAGCCCATTCAGATATATCATTTCCACAGAGCAAAGTGGCAATTCACTGACAGCCACTATGGCATTAGCTCATCATTGTTCCACTTAACACTTTTACAATGCAGTGCTGTATCATAAAATACACTTTCCCCTACGCTATATAGGTTCAGGCAAAGTTAAGATACTGTGCCTTACATTGTGCAGAAGGTTGAAAGTTGGGTCCGCAGTGAAATGTCCCCTGCTCAATACAAAGAACCGAATTGAAATGGAAAGGCATGGCAAAGATTTAAGGTTAAACCAATTAAGTTGCCAACCACACAATGCCTGGACTGACACCTCCTTTGAAATATATTCAGGCTCTTTTAAAGTGTGTGAGCGCCAGTGTGTGTGCGTACATGCATGCGAGCGCTGCACTGGAGGTTAATTTATAGAGCATGGGGGGGGGGGGGGGGGGGTGCAACGTTGCCACAGAAAAGCCTCTATTGAGTGAGTTCTAATTAGCATTAGCTTTGGCCCTAGCCTATCTGAGAGGAGGATGAACAGAGGGCCCAACCATACAGGCTTCCATTCAATTAGCATCTCATTATGTTGCCATGGCAGCCCGGGCTTTAAAGCCATCGTGAAGATTTCCCATTGCACCCAGAAAGGGCTGCCATGCCTGAACAAACATGGGAACACATATGTACGCAAACACACACGCTGTCACTGGAGAGGGAAGTGACCTGTTCGTCTTGTTTTGATCCTGTCACACACACTTTCACATTGCTTCACTGCCAGCCACCGTCTCCCTGCACGGCTCCGCAGCTGCATACCAACGTGCAATGGGCTCCACTCATAAAGGGTCTCTGGATGTGTGAAAGTAAGAGACACTAAAAGAGTGAGAGAGCTGGCGAAGAGATTTACTTAAAAGGTCTCTGAGAGTCTCAACTGGACCAATGTGTCGTTATTATCTTTCTATTTCCCCCATGATTCTTTCCCCTTTTATAATTGAAAGGATTGAGACGCTTAAAGTGTGCTGCCACCACACTTCACTATCACACACACACACACACACCTGTAGAACTGGAGACATGATGTGAAGCTACACCCCCTCTGTACCCTCTTACTCGGCCCACTTAGCTCAATCTGAAAACAAAGTCTCTCCTACTGTGAAGGTTTCAGCAGCTACTTTAAACACGACCCGCTGAAGCTCATCCCCCTTTCACCCTCCTTTTTATATAAAGAATACAGAAATAAATTGCCGTTGATGTGGTTTCTGGTCTCCTCCAGAACAAGGGAGAGTCTGCCCCGGCCTCTCACGCTGCTGAACATCAGACGAGGCTGCTCAAACATGACTTTTTGATTGGAAGCTGGGTGCAAGTCTATGTGTCGCAAAGCTTTTGAGTTGTTATTTTCTCACCATTAGTACTGGTTATTTAGCAAGGCTTATAGATATATCAGAACAGCAGTTTTACAGTTATTTTCCACTTCTCCCACTCTTCTCTCTCTCTTCCTCGTGACTGTCTCTCATGTGGAGGGAAGTGGAAACACAAACAGGCTGAGTCTGCCCTGTGGTTTCTCCTCTTGCTTCCTCTCTCTTCCCGTTCACATGCTTGCCCTTTCTTTTCCTTCATCTATTGGACCTCCCTAGTTTCTTTAATGCTTTTTAAACAGTTTGTAGTACCACCATCCTCATCTGACCGTCTGGTTTTTGCAACAGAGTGTCATTGTCTACATCTTCTATCCTCTACCTTCTCCCTTTCAAGCCTCAGGAGCCTGGCTGTACTGTCACATAAGAATCACCACTGACCCCATGTGGTGAACAGGCATAACTGCAGCCCTGTTTGCTTGAAATGACCAGTCATAAACACAACGACACTGATTTGTAGCTATTTGGTCGCTGGATACTTTATGAGAAGATTTTGGAGTAGAAAGAAGCAAGATACTTGTTTCCAATGTAAATTAATCTTTATTTTCTCTTTCCCCCAGAATGCCCCTGCACAAATCCAGCTCTGAAGATGGATCTGGAGGTAATTGAGATGCAATTGTCTTTTGCTGTCTTTTTATGTTTTTTTCTAAATGAGTATGCTTTTGTATTAATTGATGCTTGAGGAAGTCATGTTTGCATTATACCTAATTGTAAAAAAAAAAAGAGAATGCTTTTCCCCATGTGACTGAACCTGCCCTGTCTTTAGGTAAATGGGACAATAAGAAGAAAAACAAGTCTTTTTGGCAGAACTTCCGCAAGTCTCAGCACAAACCAGTCATGCGACAGACATCCAAAGGTTTGTGTAGCTTTATTTCTCTGATCTCCTTTACGTAATACATGTTGCCTCATATGTGACCTTTTGCTTTTTTCCCCCTGTACACTGTTCAGGAGAAGACATAGGCTATGTGGCCAGTGAGATCACCATGAGCGATGAAGAGCGAATCCAACTGATGATGATGGTGAAGGAGAAGATGATCACAGTGGAAGAAGCTCTAGCTCGGGTAGGAAGCTTCACTGACTTCCTGCCTCATGTCGCACCTACCCCCCCCCCCCCCCCCCCCCCCCCCTCAAATGGCCAATTCCCTTTTTAGAAGTGCCACAGGATCCCCTCACCTCCTTCTGGATTAGTTTCCAGCTCCCTTCTGCTCTATATTCCCATCATGCCTTTGGCTTACTAAAACGACTTACTCATACTAACATGTACCAGGCCCCACATTTTAACCCTGCCATGTCCTCTTTATACACACACACACACACACACACACACACACACACACACACTCCAGAATGTTGGTTTCTAGAGGTTCAGGAGTGTGGGGATTTAAAGGTGTGAGCTCTTGTGTGTGTGGATGTGTTGTTCAGTTCATAATTGCGAGGTTGGTGTCATAGTAACTCAACAGCTCCATCTGTTCGGTGGGATGCTCTGGTGCCCTGTGGTATTTCTCTCTAGGTGGATATGGTGGATAATTACTTGGCTCTCTTTACATTTTTCTTTTTTTACTTTCCGACTTCTTTCTTTTTCTTCCATCCTTCCTTTTTCCCTTCCAATCCCCTTGAATTGCTCACGAGTAGCCTGGTCATGCAACATCATTTTAGCACTGAATTGCTCTCCACAGGGCAGATTTGATCTTCCTACCCTTATTATCCCATAGATCTTTGATTTTATTTTTGCCAATAGCCTCACCCGAGCTTATCGCTTTACTGATTGTCAATTAATCAAACCAATCAATGTCCAGCCTTTGTGGATCATTGTATTTAACTTGTGGGGTTTTTATTATTGTCAGTATAATATTAAATAGTATGTGTGTCCAGGGATGTAGTTGGCTATAAATATTATACGATTCAATCTGCCTTTCAGTATTTGTATTATATTGGATTCATGTGTGCTTTAAAGCAATACATAAATCAAAAAGTAAAAGTAATTCCTCATATAAAAAAGGCTAATGACAGGAGTTTGTGGACATAAAACACAATAGACTTTTGTTAACTAGTTGTTTGCAAATACAGGCTACATAATTTACCACTACATCACTTATTCAGTCTTTGTAATTTGTATGTGTGTCTCTATATATGCACAGAAGTGACGCCTATCAATTGTCTGTTAGCATATGGAGGGATGTAGCATGTCTGGTGAGAGTGGGTTTCCCCGCCCTGTTCCTCTGCCTCTCTAAACTCTTCTTCTCCACGTAGCTAAAGGAGTATGAACTCAACAGACAGTCCAGCAGTACTGACACTGCTGAGTGGACTGAGGGATCTGCATCCAATCTAAACCAGTCCTCAAACTGCAACGTAAGTACACCCCACCCCATTACCCTGACTCCCCCCAAACCCTGACCTCTCCCCTTTGACTCTACCTCTCATAACAACCTCACCTCGACCACTCTCACCGTTGAGTTTGATTTTCAGCAATGGAGGTTCTGAAGGAAAGTCGTTGTTTCGACATATGTGTGGATGGATGTGTGTTTATTTCATATAAAAAAAAAACTGGTAAATCTAAAAAAAACTTTTTAGGTGTGTTTAATTTTGGACATATTTATATCGAGTTGCTTAAAGCACCTTAACTCAACCTTTATTGCCTTCCTTTCCCTTTATCTTCCCTTCTCTCTCTGCTCTTAATTCATTGGCCAACTACTATACATCCACCTTTGCACTTACATCCACCATGTCATGTGCATCTTTATACTATGGTTGTTACCTTTCAGAATCTGATTTATTACCAACTAGTAGGTTCACAAATACTAGGAATTTGCTTTGGTATATGTGGTGCATAGAAAGAGACAGAAAGAAGAATAAGTAGCAAAACATAATAAATCTCAGAATCTTGTCCCATCGCTTGTCTCGGTTTACTAAGCCTGCGCTCACAAATTGGCAGTCACAATGAGATATATGCTGTTTGTTACAAATCCTTTCCATATTTTATGCATCAGCTTAGTCCTGTCATGGGCAATTGAAATATGTCCTCAAACATTTTTTAAATTGCCTGCTGTAGTGACATATACATTGTCTGTTGGAAATTTGGGTCAGGTTTGTTTCCATCAATCAGTTATAGCTTAGTGGAAATTCCCACAAATCTCATTTTGTCAGCTGTGATCTGTGGGGAGAAGGCCTCCAAACCTCCGGTCACCTTTAGAGTGAGACCTTTGAGGATAATGTGTTTGGTGGAGCTGAAGCTCAGACAATCGGGGTCTGTTGGACACCGTTTTGTGTTTGTTGACCCTCTGTCAGTTCTCTCTGTTCTTTCTTTTCTAAACGTAAGTCAGCTCTGAAACAGATTCACAGTGGCCATGACGGTTCTTTATTACCTCTGTGTGTGGCATCATATTGGAAAAACATCTTACAGTCCCACACATTGACCCAATTTTCTTTGTAAAATCTGTAAATGTTTTCGAAGTATAGGACCACGAAAAGAATTACCTGCACATGTTTATTTTGCAATTTGGAATGTGATACTAATTTCTGACTAAACAACACTGAGTTATTCTAAAAAACAATCCCTCCTATTAAGCTAATGCATATGAATTTCATGTTTTCATTGCTGAAGTAAATGGAAGGTTGACCCCTCAGCCTCTTCAAGAATCAGCTTTAGATCCAGCACAGTCGCCTTACCATAATCACAATTTCTTATATATTCAAGTGGTTGAAAAGGCTTTTCAGTTTTTCCTCGACTTTTACACATTCATAGCTGCCCCCTCTTCAATGTCAGTAATTGTTTAGTGTGCATTCATAAACTCATGAAATCAGATCCGCTTACTGTAACTGAATTTGTAAAACTATGAATAAATACTAATGGTAAATAGTTTAACCGCCTAGGGTCCCTATTCAAATGGTCTTTTGTTTAATGATTGATGATTTTCTTCATGCCATACATAACCTCAGCTCAAGTTTCGTCTTACTGTTTGTTGTGCTTGTTTGAATTGTGCATGAGTTTGCCGATCATCTTATCAGTCAGTCAACCCTCATGTTACCCCTCTGCAGCCAGCTGCTCACTTCCTGTGGAAAGATGATTGATCGATTGGGTTTTTTAAAGTCTGGAGAGGATAGAAGATTTACTGTAGGAGCATTGTTTAGAGGAACATACATCTCGGCTCTGGAGGCTGTGAACAAATGCAAGAGCTGGAGGCAGAGAGGAAACAAGGGAGAGAAAAATTGGGGAAGATAAAGACTTTGCACTGAAAAGGGGGGAGTTCTGTATCCCCCTTGCCCCGAGTTCCAAAATCGGCCACCTCAGGAAATATTGCTACTCTGCTGGGGCCTCTGGTGGGGCCTCTGGTGGTGTCACGTACTGCCCCCTCTCCCCTCTAATGAATGGATTTGGGTCATTCCCGATTTCAAATAGTTAACAGATTTGTGTGTCTGTGTGTGCCTCTATATAGTGACATGTAAATATATGGTTCAGATATATGGCTGACATGTTGGCATGCCTTTGGCTTCTTTGTGCCTTTTCTTTGATGCTGTCTTCTCCCGGTCTGTCTTCCTCCGGCTATCGGAGCCCACATTCCAGGGCTGGCCATTAGCGATGTTGGGGCCAAGGCAGGGTCAGAGGGGCTCAAATGCTGGGATTGTTCTCCATGCACAACACGCCTTTTCTCTGCTAGCTGTGCGGCACGGCACTTCCAAACAGTCCCTCATTCCTCAGAGCTGAATTCACGAACAGGCTGCGTCTGTATCAGCCATCATGTGCACAGATACAATTTTGAATTGTGCATGCGTGAGAATGTAATCAGCCTATTACGGATTTTCTGGGATACATTCTTGCTAACCTGTTGGATATTAACAAAGAACAAGTTACCCTTGGGTTTTGAATGAGGTGGTAAGTTTTAAGGCACATTTATGCTCTTGAATGCTTGAAGTAGATAGTAGCTTTAATTGATGTTTTGTGTGGTGCAGGATGACATATTTTGGTGTGCAACATGAGGTTGCTGGTCTGTATTTTTTTAATTTATTTGGCATTTCGTATTCTCCAGCAAAATACATTATACAAATGTTTAACCCGTCCAGGGTCTGTAGTTTTTCTAAAGTTTATTTGCATCTCCAAAGCTATGGGAGCAATCCTGAATTTAATTTATGAAGTTAAATGGCTATTGTGGTGGTGAAACTGTTGCATGTGGCCTTTTAGCCCTGCTTGATTCATTGCTTCCTCTGTTTGGCTTTCTTTCTTTGTGTGTGTCTTTCCTCTGTTTTGAGGTCATTTGCAGTGACGGTATTTCTCAGGACTATGATAGGACCGATATATCATTGTCGTCTCTTACCATCTTATTGTCCCTTTCTCTGTCTTTTAAACAAGGAGAGTGTGGGTCAACTATGAAATTACTATTGCAGTTGTCCGGCACATAGCTTTTCCCCCATATGACTTCACATGAGTCACTTCTCAATAACAGTTATTAAGAGGAACTGAGTTACAGGAGTGGATTCCCATCCAATCTGTGATTTCACAACCTTTACATCTCCTCTTTTATCAGTCATCTCTGACTTGTTATTACATTCACTGAATCTAATACAATAAAGCATCGTGTAGAGCAAATGGAAAGTTGAAGCAGTTGAAGCTTTAGCCAGAATTGTGTGGTTCAGCTGAGGTATTGTCATGGAGAACTATGCTGAGGGAGAAGTGAGTTATGGGTTTTCAGAGACTATTTCTGCAGTTTTGTGGGAGGCTAAATAAATGGCTATACCCAAGTTCTGGTCTGTTGAACTGATATGATAGAAGACCTAAAGGTTGATAACGCATCTCTAAACAAGGTGAAGTGGAGTCAAAGGGAGCTATGTTTGATAGAATGGACTTCACAGTGATTAATATGTTGTTCCCTCTTCCAACTTGGCAAGGTTTTGTAGCGCTACTACGCCTGCAGAATTCATAATATCCTGATGTTGCTAAGGTGGTTTGGTGCCATTTAAGGATTTCTGGACAATGTCAAATCTGTTTGCTCCAACCAAGCCACACTTGTTAACATCATCCCTACTGGATGTCAGCAGCCTCGGAGCCAGGCCTGTGGTCAACAACAGCGAGAAAGCGGTTTCTTCTCTGCTAGCTTTAGAGCTGTAACCGTGGATAGCATTTCATAAGACAGAGTGCTGAGCCCTGCAGGCCTGCTCTGTCTAGTTGTGTGTATGTGATGCATGAATGCGTGTCCCTTTGCAAGCGATGCAGTCAACCTCAACTGTGGAACTGGCAGCATGTGACAAAAGAGGTGGTGTTGTTGTGGAAAAGAAACCAGTGGCAAATTGCAGGTCTCCCTTGAAAAAGAGATCGTTGATCTCAATGGGATTTTACCTGGTTAAATAAAGGCTACAAACAAATAGAAACAAATGAAGTTGTTGGAGCTCCATGATAATGATGGTAGTTCCTGCCAGACAATCTTTAGGCCAATGCTTGGCTCATCAGCCTCATCATCACATGGGGACCATAGAGAGAATAGGCACTCACACATGCGAACACAAACAGCCTGGGGAGTTTTTGTGTGTTTGTGTGTTTGTGTGGATGATGAAAATGTTTGTGACTTCATTCATTATGGTCTCTTTTCCTCTCCACTACACTGCAGAAAGTTTGAATGCATTGCCCTTCAATTGAGAGGCAACATAACGCAGAGTTGGAACATTTATTGTGTTACTGCTTCATCCAAATGTACTAATTATTTAAGTTCAAGTTATTAAAGATGGGGTAGGTCATTTTGGAGAAACCAGCTCGAGTGCGCTAGAATTTGAAAATACACAACCGGAAAAAATCTGCCACTTCCTTATAGAGCCCCTCCTCCAACACACACAAACGCGCACATGACCAATGAGGGCACGAGATAAGTTTGTGCACAGATGGAAGGCTGACAGGCAGGTAGGCCATCCAGTTATTTTAGCCGGGCCGGGCCGGCTAAAATAACTGGTCGTGCTTTTTACAGTATTACAGAATTTTTTTATGGATTTTTTGTCAAAGCACTTAAGATATTCATTGCTATCGGGATGTTAAGAGCATTCCATGGAATATAACAAAAAGTGTATCTCGAGCCGGTTTCTCAAACTTAACTACCCCACCTTTAATATACATTTATGAACTTAACATGTGTGCCACTATCCATCTAATCATCCATTTCTCACTCACTAACTTTAACTCCATCCTAAACAATACTTCCATCTGTTACATATAACATAAGTGTTCAATATCACAAAATGTTTTTATTTACATTTTTCACTATTTTTTATGTTTAATTCCTTTTGAAACAAAACCACACGTTTATTTTACACTTGCATTGATTTGATGGTACACTAAAGAAGATCCTCCCTTTTCTCAAGGTTTATTTAACTGAGTAGTTGTTTACCGTCTGTTCCTTTTTATCATATCATCCCTCCCTCTGGCTCTCTCTTCCACCAGTCTCGTGAACAGTCAGACGATGAGCAGTCTGAGGACTCTGTGAAGTTCAAACGGCTTCACAAGCTGGTTAACTCTACGCGCCGCGTCAGGAAAAAGCTCATCAAGGTGGAGGAGGGCAAGAAACATGGCTCTGAAGGTTTGTTACTCCATGTCTTAAAATGTTGTCCTTGCATTATTTAACAGTTAAACATATGTTCATGCATTATTGGAAAAATGTTATGATAGAAATATGTTTTTTGGCACTTTGTCTGTCCTCTCTAAAGAGAAGTTTAAGTTCAGCCATGTTTCCAACTGGTGGTTATTAGAAATTAGTTCTGTTAACAAGGATCTATTTTTTTGAATGCCTAAGTATTACATTCTCATCTGTCATGGCTTTTGCCTAGTACTCAGTCTTTAAGAATGTGTTTTGAAATGTGGGCTGGCTAGCTAAGGTTTGGAAAACCACAGATGGGTCATGGGACTACTCAGAATCTGATGTCTAAATCCTCCTGAGTAACAAACTGTCTGGTTTCTGTCTTCTTCTTCTAGATTTTCTGAATCTGCGGTCACCTCCCACCTGTGAGAACAACACAGCTCTGTATACAGGGGTCCTGAAGAGGCCCCCTCGGCCTCAGGAGAGCTCTCTCACCCAGGATCAACTCTCTCTGGATGGAGACACAGACAGCCTGACCAACTCCCCCTCCTCCAGCAGCCTGGACACCTGGTCCGGACACAAGCTGGTCAAGACCTTCAGTAAATCTTCCAGTACCCACGGTCTCATCCGACCCCCCAAGAGAACCCCAGTCGACTCTACAGGCCTGGGAGACTCCAACTCGGGCGTAGGAGGCAGCGGCTCTTCCTTTTCAGAGCTGGATGGCTGTGGATTGGACGAAGAAGGAAAGCTGTCACGCTCCACAACCGACAGCGAGATGCGGAAGGCTCTGAACTCCATCTCCCATGGGGTAAGTAACAATGAGGCGCTCTACGCCTACTATGGCCTCACAAAACCCCGCCCTAAACCCCACTCCCAGTCCCGCCTCCTGATCTCTCTGGATGACGGTCCACAAGGCAGTCCCAAACAACAACCTGCCAACCGGCATCACGGCAGCTGGACGCACCGGAAACCTGATCCCAACTACGCTTACTCCACCAAGCACCTTCTGTACCAACGCTCGCGCAATGCCAAGACCCCCATCTCCCCTCTGTCTGTCACCCCCTCCTCCCCTGCCCGCTGTGATGTAGCCAAATCAAAAGGTTTTGGCAGTGGGGGAGGGGGCTGGGTGTTCCCCTCTCGCAGGCTGCGTGGTCGAACGGCAGTCAGTGAGCTGAACATCACCTATGTGGTGGAGCGGAGCCTGTACGGTCACCTCAACTGGGCCCAGCTGGTCCGCCCCGTTACCCTCAGCCGCGCCGAGCGCCGCTGTCTATTGGAGGAGGACCGAGAAGGGGACAGGAAGTGGGCGGCCAGTGTTGACCGCTGCACCAAGCGAGTGCTCTTGCGCATCCAGCAGAAGTCTGTGAGTTCAGACCATGAGGTTTAAATCGACCGCCTCGTGTGAGCAGGACTCGGTGCTTCAAAGTTGCAGAATAGCTCAGAGGTTATATGGCAAGATACAGCAAACACACACAACACACATGCCACGCCAAATGACTTCCACCTATCCATTTAAATTACCCATGTAAGAAATCCACATTAAAGCATTGCCAATGCAACTCTGCTCATTTATAGAAAAAAGGCAAGGGGCTCGTATATCTATCACAGACTTAACTGCCCTGAAAAGACTGTCTTCTTCAATGACCTTTAAGTAAATGCCTTTGGCTTTCACCAAAAGCCTTTTTTTAATTTCAGCTGAATATAAAATGATTATGTAATGTGCAGTGGCACACTTATGAGGTTAAGTTACAGAAGTAAGTGCTTTCTTATAAATGTCAGATCCTTGAGGAACACTGGCATATACGCACTGATCCCTGTGGGCAAAAGGGATATTATACAAACTCAAAGCTGCTCATCTTTAGAACTGCACAGTACATCGCCTTAGAGACATTCAATGAAACGCCTTAGTCAACTGCTTATGGCTTATAAGTGTTCAAATTAATTGTGTTAGGCTGTGTATAACAACAGAGAAGTGGAAACAGAAAAACAGCTACTACTTATTCATATCGCAGTGAATGCAAAATGTAAGTTCTGTCTAACGTCAACCAGCATTAAAACAGTGTGGTTGTATAGCAAGGGACTCACTTGCTCCCTGTATATATTAAATGCCTGTGTGTATAAGCAGAAGTAGGGACACATTCTCTAGGTGGTGATACAGTGGAGCTATCCCGCAACTTTGAGGGTACCTAAATCCTATCGTGTTCTAGTGAAATCACCGGAGGTCGTTCTCATCCAAAAACTCTCCAAAAAAAATCCACTTTTTCTGTTGTTGCTTTTCGTGTCCTTCTTTGGCCCGTGCCTCTACAGTTGCTGATGTGATTTTTATTTGTTTTAATCTTTAGTTGATTTTCTTTCCTATGATTGTCTTTGAGGGACTTTTTTTTCTGGGTGCATGTCCATTCCATCAAGCATCGCCATCACATTCAAAGTGCTTTTTTTTGGACTTGGCTTCAAACATGTTTGTTCACCAAACTGCTTTTCCTGGGAAGTTGTGCTGTGGACTGCAGCTGTGGACATCTAATACACAACATGTGTTTTGAACGTGCAATGCATTCACATGGAGGATCTTCGTCCAGGGTTTGTGGGAGTTTAGAAGTAATGGCTTTTTAAGCAAAGGAGAACTGCTATCAAGGGCCCCACTTGGCAGATGCATTTGTGCATGTCTCTACGTGTCTACATGTCTGTGTGTGACCTACTGCAGAGCTTAGGCAGGATTCAAGAAGTCAAAGCCTCTCATGTCACAGTTCCCGTTGTGTCTACCCCTGTTGACCTCTACAGTTGATCAAAAAAGTCCCCATATCACCCTGTCCTCTCAGCAGAAACAATTTACCCTCCCCAAAAATGTTTCTGATGAGAATTAACACATTGTCCGCTCCAAATAACCTATATGTTGTGCATGTTTGCATACTAAGCCCTGTTCTGCATTTTTCATAATTAACCACTTGACATTTTGCATCAGGCTTAAATGTAATAAATATATATCTTGTAAAAGTACGGCTATATATTTTAGCTTGGCCCCATCAAGAAAGGTTTAATTTAATCCAGGGATTTAAGATTTTAACCATATGAGCGACTTGTTGGAGACAATTTAGTGTTCTCCACGGTCAATATAACAGCTCATTTGCCTCGAACCGTGCAGTAACCCGCAATTTTAAAGAGGAACTCGTATAACAGTTTGTGTTACATCATGTCTGTTGGCTGTCCACAAGTCCCATATGACGTCATGCCCCCGCATACATATATACCATATCCCCATGTACATTCATCAAAGTGCTGCCTGTGTTGTGTCAAGAATGAATCATTGTGAGTTGACCCTCAGTGGGTGTGGATGGGGAGTTCCTGTAACCTGACGTTCTAAATGTGACTAATTTGATTGTGTTTTGGCTCCCTCACAGAGAACGTGCAGCTTCGGGGGCTTTGACCTGTCTAACCGTTCTCTCCATGTGCTCAACGTGGGCTCAGAGGCCAATGTAAGTGCCGGCAGCTCGTAAAATTAGAAGAGGCTGTGAAGAGCCCAACCTGAACCCTCCTGTCACACTAAATCACCTTTCTCTCCTCTTTTTTTGTGTGCCCCCTCTGCCCTTTGTCTTCTTCCATTTCCATCCACTCCTGATTCATCCATATCTGTCACCTTCTTCCCCTCTGTCCTTCCTTTTCCGTTCTCCCTTCCCTTTTTCTGATCACAGCATAAAGAGCAGGAGGCCATATACAGAGAAGTGGTCAAATCCCCCACCACCTCTCGGATCTCACTGGGCAAGAAGGTCAAGTCGGTCAAGGAGACGATGAGGAAACGCATGTCGAAGAAGTACAGCAGCTCCTTTTCTGAGCAGGTTAGATATTTACACCCACACCCACACACCATTTTGTAATGCTTTATTTCCCAAAAGTTCAGTTTACATTAAGGATTCTGTTTCCCTTATTTTCCAGGCAAGTGAGGTACATCCGAACCTCAACTGTATTTAAATGTGATAGCTTAAACGTATACAGTCTCAAAAATCCACACACCATACTTTTTATCCTTAAAACAGTAAGCCAAGGGCTGCTTCAAAAAAATAAAAGTGCCCCATGTTCTGCAAACATTTATGGGATGTTTTGCAGTGTAAGCCACATTTTCTGTCCACAGGCTGCGAGGGAGTGGGAGTATTTGTGTTAGTAACAGTATAAACATGGAGATTTTAAACACACACACACACATTTGGATTTCTCTCTGCGGTGCTGTCCCTGGGTGGAGTGTATGCTTCATGCTGAGCTCATGGAGTGATGCAAGTCTCCCCCAGGCTAGCTCTCTGGAAATGAAGTGTGAGAGAATATAATGGCGGTCTCAACTGCACAGGCCTAATTTTTTTGGGCATCCTGTGGCTTTACTAGTCCAGTCCCTCCAGTTTGATGTTGCCTTGCAGAGTGTGTCATTATTACACAGTTGAACATCTGGCCATCATGGTGGTCTCAACACTGACCCACATATTCTTTCATTAGTCATGGAGCCATTGGATGGAAAAGAGCGAATATAAATTAATTGCCTTGGGACAATTGTTCAACAAAGTTTGAGACCACACTGCCACCTGGTGGTTAACATAATACACACAACATTTGTATTGTCTGAGCCTTTTTTTTGTATATACTTAAAATCTTTAAACTTAAGTTTTTTGATTGTGTTATTTCTAACATATGCAAGATAATGCAATGCAGGTCTAAAAAACACAAAATAATTGTATATGTCAGACTAAATGTTATCATAACTGCTGTAACTTGATTTCATCTGAAAATGCCAGGGTATTAAACCGTGGGGGATCTATCTTTTGTGTCACCTAATAAACAGCTGATCATATATCATCATTGGATATTAGACTGTGTTAGGGTTAGGGTTATTAATGTTGCAGCACAGGCGCTCTTAGACATTACTGTTTCCCCATTTGCGTGCTGCTTAATTTACATACTTTTTTCAAAGCTGATGATTGGTTAATGTTCACATTGGTAAACCCATTGGGGCTGAAAACTCACTTTTACATCAGTTTTTTATGAAAAAATACTGACAACCCCTATCAATCCTCCATCCCCCCTTCCTTTTCCCCTTGTCTATCTTTCTGTCTGTCATTCAGTCCAGTCCCGATGGAGCCCCTGGCTCCCCTCAGTCCCCTCAGCCTGACACCGACTCTCTGGAGAAGCCGAAGCTTAAGGCCGGAGGATCGGTGGAAAGTCTGCGAAGTTCACTCAGCGGACAGAGTTCAATGAGTAAGACATAATCCAAGTAACTGCTTCTCAAAACTGATGTAGCATGCAGTACAGTGTATGTTTCTTGACATCATGATTAATAGAACAAGTTGTCAAGATTGTTTTTGCTTCCATAAAACATTCCTTCCATAGCAATTAGTCCTCCATTATTTCAAACCACTGTTATTTTACACTTTGGTTGCTGGTGGAGCACTAACGCACAATTATTTAGTTCTAGGGTGTCATTACATCATTATATATGTCATGTACAAATATTTAATGCAAATACAGGGACATTTAGTGTACAGCTTAAGTCACCTGTTTTGAGTGATGTTTAACACTAGATGGTGCTCTTTACATTTACTGTTTGCTGGTGTGTATTTCAAATTCATACAGATTACTCAACCTTCTGTCAATACATGTATACTTATCATCATTTCTGTGGAGTGACGGCCATGAAGATCACACCCAGTCCCACGGGCTGCGTCATGTGTTGTGATCTCATCGAGGCTTCAAGTGACCTCTCATCTTATCTAATTACAACTTCTGATAACTTAAACCGGTTGTTTCCCTCACGTCTTTGTTGAGAAAATACCTTCCATCATCTCATGCTCGTGGTGAATTGAAGACTTGGCCGACTAGGTCATTTGAGGACATAGAAAAAGCAGCCAAACAAGCAGGCAAACATACGGTAATGATTAGTTAGGGAGTCCTGGCCAAATACTCGACTTCAGCTCTAGTTCAAGTTTTTATGACTTTAAGTTCAAGTTCTCCTCTCAATGCAGACACAAAGACACGAAAAAGACGTTGACAAAATAATATTAGGAAAGTTCAAATCCAAAACCTTTACAAGCTACTAAGTACATGTTTATACAGTGACCAGGCAATCTTTTTATATCTTCTATAAATCTGTGTTTGTCTCCAGGTGGTCAGACTGTGAGCACCACTGACTCGTCAGCCAGTAACAGAGAAAGCGTGAAGTCCGAGGATGGTGATGACGAGGAGCCGCCTTACAGAGGGCCGTTCTGTGGCCGCGCCCGGGTCCATACAGACTTCACCCCCAGCCCGTACGACTCAGACTCCCTCAAACTGAAGGTAAACACACTTTGGGACTTGAATATGATTATGCACCGACCAAAATGGTTGGTTGGAGAGCTGTGGATGTACACTTTACTACTTAAACGGTTCACTTTTTTAATGCTCAATATTTTTAACTACTAAGCGGTTCAGAAAGTTACGTTTTTTTCTGAATGATTGTCTTTGTGATTTTCCAGCGCGGTGATGTGATTGACGTCATCAGTAAGCCACCCATGGGAACGTGGATGGGTCTGCTGAACAACAAAGTGGGCACCTTCAAGTTCATCTACGTGGATGTGCTGGTTGAAGAAGAGGAGAAACCCAAGAGGCCTGTAAGGAGAAGGAGGAAGGGCCGACCCCCCAAGCCCTCATCAGTGGAGGACTTGCTGGAGCGCATCAACCTCAAGGTACAGCGTCGCCATGCGTTGAATACTGAATGCATCAGGTCAAATCACAGAGTCTCTTCAGTGGCAGTTGAGTAGATTTACCCGCGCTGATTGTGTTCAGTGTACAAACTGCAGAAATGAATTGTCCAAACTGAGAAGTCTCACCCATCTAAATAGGAGAAAGCTAATCTTATGGAGTGAATGAAAATATTGTCTTAGCCAAATATTTTCAAAACACATTTGCAGAAAAACAGAGATAAATATAGCGTTGACAATTACAGGCTACACAGCTCAGGATGTTTGATCTTACCCTGATGCATAAACATTAACACCCACATTCTCACAACCACGCCCCAACAAACAACACTCATCTTTAATCAAAACCTACACATAGCTGTGAGCTTGATATCATCTCCTCCCACTCGGGCAGCCAGCAGGCCTCACTTCCGCAAATAGAGAAAAAAACGTTGTTTGTGTGTTTCATCTCCGGCCAGCCTAATGGGAGAGTCACAGATTAAAGATCCAGAGTGGATTATTAATGTTGCAGCACAGGCGCTCTAAGCTGTGAGCCAAAAGTGTCCCAAGTGCTTCAGAGTGTCCTTAGGCAGCACCAGATTTCTACAACGGGTGAATTAAACTAAACACTAAAACAACAAGTTACGTTTCCTGGTTGAAACCAGTGTACCAGTACATTTGAACTATTACTTCTCTTGGTTTGTGCTGATGATGAAAAAGTATAAATAAATTCCAGTCCCACAGCTTTCTTAAAAAAGATCATTATCTTTCCAAGCCCCATTTGCGTTCAGTTATACAACTTATGTCAACAAAAAGGGATTTTTTTACCCTTTTTAGTTAGACCAATTTATTTCACATCCAAGACAAATCATAAACATCACAGCCAATACATTTAAGATGGATTAAAGCAGAGGTATTAGAGCTTAAATCAAGTATTTATTTGTGCAAGTTTTTGTACAAGTTTTTGTTGTTTATGTAGAGGAACAATAGGTATTTTTTCTATATATAGCCCCATTTCTCCAAATTTCACCTGTTTATAGAGAGGGGATTTTTTTCAAATTAAATGTTAAGAAACTACCTCAAAGTGCCTCACATCTTTTTCTTTTTTTTTTACAAGTCTTTTTAGTTCATTATAGTTTACAGTAATCGATGCCATTTCATTTATATTATAATATCACAGTACACTCTCTCTCACATCTTTTTTAGTGTAGATATTTCCTCAGCTTTATGTTTTTGAACACACCAACAATGCCTGTCTGTAGCCATAAAGTGTTAATCTCCATACTCATGTAACTGTTGCGCGAGAAGGGCTCTGCGAAATGATCTTTGGATTTGAAATGTGTTTGGGTTTTTGACAGGCCAAAAGACACAAGAAAGTGTGAGTGAAAGGACACCGCTGCCTGTGTTTGTTAGTCGGTGGTCCTTTGTTTAGTCCTGCATTATCCAGCAGAAATAGAGCACACAGTTTTTTTGTGAGGTCTCCACCATTGTAATTGATGGTCTCACTGGTGACACACAGTCTATGTATTCATCCAACAGAGTGCGTGGGTCACACAAACATAAAGCCAAGCAATATTGGAAGTAGAAGCAGTTACGACTGTGTTGAACGATGGTGTGAGCTAACTGTGCACACAGGGCGTATCTAGATCTCTTTTTGTTGGTCTGCACCCTCTCAGATAACGGTGGTTTTGAGTGACTAGCTTTGGTGTTTGTTTGTGTTGGTGTGTAAAACTTTGCCTTCCGTGGTTGAGGAATGATTTGATGTAACAGTCTCCACCTTCGGTTCTTCTTGTTGCCACATTAAGTCGGCTGGTTTTCCTTTCAAGTCCTGTTTGCCATCTTGGTCACAGTTAGAACAGCTTGGGATTGTGGCTGCTCACTCCATGCTCTTACTCCATTGGTACATGTTGCTACAAATCAGTTTTATGTGCCTGCCAACATGACTAAGTGTATGCCATATTAATGTGTGTTGACAGTTGAGGCAGCCATAAGCAAATTAGTCACGGCTCAAAGTGATTACATGCCATCTGAAAATCTAAACAGCAGTTTAGATTTGACTCAGCAGTCATTTCAAAATATACTGGTTGGAAAGTAAGTTATGAGCAGATGACAAGTGTGAACCCTTTTTTTTCTCTCTTACCTCACCTCAATGTCTGTATTTAATGTTTCTAGCCCAAAGTTTTTTCACTGGTTTAATGACTCGTATCCAAAGGTTATTTTTATTTAGTCTAGTGTATGTTTTTATTATGACATAATCAGTCTTAGCCCCTCAAAAGAAAGTTTAAACTCACACGTGACCTTTATTTCAAACAGGAGCACATGCCCACTTTCCTATTCAACGGCTACGAGGACCTGGACACGTTCAAGTTGCTGGAAGAGGAGGACCTGGATGAGCTGAACATCAAAGATCCTCAACACAGAGCCGTGCTGCTCACCGCCGTAGAGCTGCTACAGGAGTATGACAGTAAGTCGAAATAACGTGTGAGAACACACTCCACACTATTTTGATTAAGGTTGACGACCAGGAGTTAAGATCTTGGGTTTTACTGGTTAGTCTCACTCAAATCTGCCCAAAGTCTACCTATTTGCAGGAACTCTCACTTTAAAGCAAGAATCTGTGTTAGCATCTGTAGAATTGTATAGGTTTATGTCATTCCTAAGTAAAGACAGTACATCAATGTCATATCCATTGCAATATGCAATAAGTGGATCAGCTGCAGGTTTTTTATCTTTCAATAACCTTTGAAACAACATTTTTCCCCGTACAGTTCAGCTGTGTGGCAAAACGGATATCAAACAAATGTTTATTTATTGAGACAGATATCTGGGAAAATAGTAATATATATTCTTAAGTCCTGATCATTTGTAAAGGGATAACCCATACATTGACCATGAGCTGTCAATCTCTACTGTGGTTTTCTAATAAAGGCAGACAACATAACAAATATTGTGTTTGAATAATGTTCAACCATAATATTGATTATATTGCTGTTTTGTGTGTGTGTATTTTCAGGCAGCAGTGATCCAGAGCGCAGCGGCCTGTCGGGCTCCCAGGAGAAGCTGCTGTCTGAGGGCCGGGGGCTGGTGGGAGACTCCCCGCGAGACTCCGGCTGCTACGAGAGCAATGAGAACCTGGAGAATGGTAATGATAGCTTTGTAGTGTAGACCAGCTAGACCCTAGGCTTAGACCTAGTTTGGGTCTGGCCTAGCTGTACTGTAGTGCCACAGCGACTCCTTCTCCTTTTCCCTCTGTGGGCGCCCGCTCCATCTCTTTCCATGCTTCTACAACTCCTCACCCATCTCCCTCCTCTGGACCAGCGCCTGCCATCCAGAAAGCTCCTTTGTCTGCCATAGCTTCGCCCCAAACCTCTCCTTTTCTCCTCTAGTCGGTGCTGTAGAAAAAGAACTGCTTATCACCTCATTCTCTAAAGACTTTAACTATCCTTTCACTCTACTTTCTTCACCCCTCTTTCCATCTTATAGGCATTCTGTGTCATCAGTGCCAAAGTCTAATTGTAACTGAGAGGAAGCCCGGTCCAAGACCACTAAGCGTAGTCCACCCCACAATGCTGGGAGCACAGAGGGAGAGACCCCCCCCAGTGCACAGAACAAACTCACTGCCCAGTCCTGGACTCAGATTCTCAGCTCCTCCGCCTGTGGATGCACGGCTTGTTAAAGGATACCGGCAGGATGTGGGCTAATGGAGTATTTCTGTTAAGTGTAACGAGCTTGCAGAGTAGCATGTTCATAAATGCTTGTTTTATTTGCAGTGGTGATTCTATAGGCTCATTAGGATTTAAAAAAATGTACCAGACAGGTAACAGAGCACACCTGCCATTTAAATCTGGATGCCTGAATACTGAATACTATTTCAATCTGTCACTTTTTCTTGTGTTTATAGTGACCATGTTGCACAAATCGACAGTATGTGCCTAAAAAAAGATGAACATATTTTTAAATACTAGTATATTGATTGTGCAAGAGTTCTGAATATAGAAGTTTATTGAGGTCTTATTTGTGAGATTTATTTCGTCATTATTTTTGAAACTGTTTTATCCTCTTACATAAGACTGTATGCTATCTTTCTTCCTAACATGCTTTCTAACAGCTCCATAACTCATAAATCACTGCTTTGTCAAGTTCTGTCTTCTTTCTATATCTGTTGGTTTCCAGAGTTACTACTTGGTTTCCTTTTTATGTGTCTATGTCTGATTCAAGTTTCAAAAGTAAAGCGTGCGATCTGCCAACGTAGAGATTTAAGTTGTGGAATAAAAGCCACTTCTTTAAAAAAGGACTTTGGTGCTGCTTGCTTTATTTTATACGTTTCACCTTTTTTTCTGTCTGTTTTTCCTTCCATGCCACTAAACACTATTTTCGCAAACCAGCTGCATAACATTTAGTGAACATTCTGCACCTCTCCTTGCAGTCTCAGGGCTCCTACCTGTTTCTTCTTAAAATCACAGCTATGTAAATGCATATTCCTGATTGGCAAAAACATTTGATTGAAATGTAAAACATTTAAAGTATTTAAAATACATTATGCAGACAATGTCTTTCAAACTTCCTCCGTTTGGGGAAAAGTTATTGAGCCCTGAATTGATGCTCTTTTAATCAAAACAGCTTCTTTGAACAAACATGTGATTAGTTTTCCTGTAACTTTATATTGTAATTCTTATTTACATCATCAAATAACTTTTGTATTTGATCAACTTTAACTCATCACTTTCGTATGCGTACACAATGTGGTGCCCAGTAAAGTAAAAGGCAGGTCATGATTATGTTCAGTCAGTGATCCACATACTAATTCTCATATGTTAAGGACACATCTTTAGATTGTAATTTTGGTAACACAAAATAACTCGTGCATCTTAAATTAGTCTTTGATTACTCATATTTATATGTAAATATCAATACATGGTTATGAAAGTTATATTATGTTAATTGTGTTTATAAAACAAATCATAGTGATGACAATTATGTCTTATATAACGCATGATGTTGCTGTAAAATACATAAATGTACCTTAAAAACAGGAGCCTAATTCTCCTGATCTAATGTCTGAAGTGAACATGGTGATTCAAGTAAATATAGTATTTATTGGAACATTTAATGGTGCTAGGTAAGTTTGAGAAACCGGCTCGAGATCGCTAGAATTTGAAAATACACAACCGGAGAAAATCTGCCACTTCCTTATAGAGCCCCTCCTCCAACACACACGAACGCGCACATGACCAATGAGGGCACGAGATAAGTTTGTGCCCCGATGGAAGGCTGACAGGCAGGTAGGCCATCCAGTTATTTTAGCCGGGCCGGCTAAAATGATTGGTCGTGCTCTTTACAGTACTACGGCTTCCACAGATGAAATTTTTTTATGGATTTTTTGTCTAAGCACTTAAGATATTCATTGCTATCGGGATGTTAAGAGCATTCCATGGAATATAACAAAAAGTGTATCTCGAGCCGGTTTCTCAAACTTACCTACCCTACCTTTAAGTAATTTAATGTTTTATCACCACTCAATCCAAATTGGCCAAACATTGGAAACTGGGAAACCATGAGACATTCCATCTTTTGAACTCCTTTCTGTCATTCCAACATTCAAAAATGTTTGGCAAGCCACACTATGTGGCACCCATCCATTTCATCCCTCCATTTTGCTGTGTAAGCCAGAGAAGAGATGGTAAGTTGCTTCGACCTTTTGTTCCACAGTTTTCTGAAACTTCCCGTCGAGATATCTGTATTTGTGATTGCTGCCATAACAACAAATCAGCGAGTTTGGTCTCGAGTCAAAAATATTTTTCTATCCCAGGGGGGCCTCCTCCCCTTCTTCATAAACATGTCTCTGATTTTGACTGGGGTTTACAGATAAGCATTTAACAAAAAGGATGTCATGCTTAAGAGTAGATTTTTATATAAAACTACTTAGCTTTGTTTGAAAAAATAAAAGTGAGCTTGTTTTTCTAATGCTATAAATACATGATCCAACATAAATAAAGGAAAAAAGTGTGGACTAAAGGCAGCCATGTGGAAAAATACAGTAATGCTGAGTCATATTCACATGGATCTTATTTTATACTAATGAGGTCATGGCCGTAGCAAGCTGAGGAGTAACTGTTTAATTGTTAGCATTTCACAAAAGACGGGTACAAACTTGTAATCGTCAAAGACTTGGTTGCACTTGGGTGAAAGTGTCTGGATGTCATTACTAAGAGAAGATCAATGTTTTTATTTTGCAGGTAAGAGCAGGAAGGCATCCCGTTCCAGTCGTTCTCCCGACTACCCCACCCTGCCCATGACCCTCTCAACAGAAGCTCTGCAGCAGAACAACAAGAACCAGCGCAAGTTCCCAAAAAGCTTTTTCATCAAACCCTCCCTGAAGGGCTTCAACCTGCTGGGGCTGCGCAAAGCCCAAAGACGGTCCCCCATCCCGGCCAGCCGGAGCTGTGAGGACCTGGACGGACCCCTGCAGACCACCGCCCCCTGGAAGCGCTCCCACTCTCTGGGGGATATGCACTGGGAGCAGAGCTTTGAGCAGAAGGATCTGAGTGTGGAGCTTAACAGTGCCAAGAAAGAACCTAAATCAGGCAGCAGTAGCCCCACCAAGGCCTGCAGAGATGAGGGTTCCCCAGCTCAGAGCAGGACTCCAACAGTGAGCCCAAAAGGAAGACCCCCCCTGCCCTCCCAGCTGCCTCTTCGTCCCCCTCCCCATACCCGCAGTCCTCCAGAGCTCCTCTCAAGTCCCACTCCAAGTCCGCCTGAGTCAAGTGGGGAGAGGGTGATCCGGACTCACGCCAAGAAGCCTCCAGTCCCTCCCCCCGTTCCCGCTAAGAAGTCGAGGGAAAGACTGGTCAACGGCCTGCGTCACCCCCCTCTCTCCCTGCCCTCTTCACCATCACCCACTCCCTCCCCGACCCACTCCCTCAACCGCTCTCACCCCAGCAGCCCTGTAATCCGCAGCAGCAGCGGCAGCCCGAGCTTCGGGGCCCCTGCTCTGCCTGCCAAGAGCCCCAGCACCCCCGCCAGCCCCTGTGCCACCTCCTCCTCCTCCTCCTCCTCCATGGGCGAGGACTCAGGCACTCCCCCAGCTGTGCAGCCCCCATGGTTCTCAGATCTGGGGGGCAAGGTGGCTGTTGCGAGGAAGGTCTCCCATGCCAAGATGGGCCCTGACCTGCTGACCCTCCTGGAACAACGGCTGGAGGCCGAGGGCATCGATCTCACTGAGGAGCCCTACTCTGACAAGGTTAGTAAAGTTCCATTAATCCACACCTGAGACATGAAGAATCACCTCACAATTGATCTTATTACCAATATCTTTGCAATGATTTTGGTTTTAAAGCAGATCAATAACTAAACAGAAAACAAATCTATTCAGTTGATACAACCTTATGGACTTCAGACCATGTGGCCAGATGTTGGCAATAAGACCTCCTACTCAAAGTTAAAAGACTACCAAACTTGATTCCTTCTGTATTTAAACATTAGGAAATCTTTATACACTCTCACATAAGTTTTTATGCTGATAATTCAAATAAACATATACGCACTAAAGTATATAGAGGGGGTAAGGTGTTCTATTAAAAAAACACCATCTGAGCCAACACATGACTTCATCATATGAAGTCATATTTCCATGGTTAATTTGAAAATGGGCTCCTCAGGGCAATACTTTCTGGCGTCAGGCTCTTTGAGTTTAGCAATGTTACATGCCTTACTCAGTCATCATTTTACTGCAGCTTAGATCTAAATGACTCTGTCCCAACAACACCAGCAGCTTGCTTTGGGACTCATTTAGTTTAAAAATAGAGACCAATAGAGTCTAAAGTTTGTGCGTTTCTTTTTGTGTGCAGATGCTTATTTCTATGCAAGTGCATTTGTTAGTGTGTGTCTCACAAAAGTAAGTACGCTGCTTGGAGCTCAGGGAAACACTAAGGACCGAGTCTTACTATGATGCGGTTCAGACTATTAGGTTTATAGGCTGAATCTTACTGAAGGCAGACAGGGTTATAAAACCCTCTGCCACTCGCCAGACCCCGGGCTGGGCCCCTATTAACATGGTGGAGCCCCGACACTGGCAGGAAAACAACAAACACGCAGAGGCATCAAGAGATGAGGTGAGAAATATGTGTGGGACCACAGCACAGCCCTGGTGGATTCCTGTTAGTCAGAAGTGGTTTAGCAGGGACATGAGAGGCACACTGTAGAAACATGGAGGGTGGGAGTTCGCACAATACAGTAAATACACTATGTTAAAAATGCAGACAACATTTTAAAATAGTTTGAGCAGTGCATTTTTTGTAATAATTGAGAATGATAATAATAATCTGGCTACTGATTTTTTAAATGAATCGTGTCCATAGCATTGAGTATTTAAAACAGTAAAGTATTAAATGCTTTGAATGTTTTATATTACTTCTTATAATATATTTGTTGTCTTTTCAAAACTCAAAGCAGTACCATTGTAGTAAAGCGATCAAATCTCAGAAATCAAATTGGGAGGGAATAGAATATTTCAAATGATATCCAGCCCTTGCCCTACGCATGTTTAAAGAGGATAACATCATTATACATTCTGAAATGTGTCCATTGTTGGCGACCCAGGCAGAGTGAACAGTAGGCTTGTATGACCTGCTCTCCATCCGTCTCTCCAGAGAGATCAGTTCCTCCATCCACCCACCCTTTGATCCTCAAAAGACCTCCGGTCCAGTTCAGCCAACCAAAACCAGGCTTAGCTGGATACCTGCCATTGCTCCAGGTGTCTACACAAAGAGAGAAAGAACAAGAAAACATGTTCAAAAAGTTGAGCCAAGCTTTCTGCCTGGCTTTATCCTTCACACGGTGATTGCTCATACAATTGCTAAAATCCTGTATCTTTCGCTCTTTCCTCTTCTCTCATCCTCATATTTCTGTGAGAAAAAAAGTACTATCAGTGATGCTTTGAATAGGAGCCAGAACAAAAGGACACTGACCTGAATTGAATTATAGTGTCTATATTCCTATATTCGCTAACACCTCTTGAAATCAGATGATGTTCTTAAAGAGGTAATTTGATGCCATTAGCCTGCTTCATTTGTTCATGAACAACCCGATCTGTGTCCAATATCACCGTAATGAGTCAAAAATGATCCCTAATATCAGAACACTTCATGTTGTCTCACTGGTTGCCTTTGTACTGCTTTCTGAAACATCAAAATGTGACAGAAAGTATTCTTTTTGTAAATGTATGTTTATTTTTATGGTTGAAATGTATTCCCCGCTCAGTTTGTATATGTCTAATGTCCCTCTGTTCCCGTCTTTCCTCCAGCATGGCCGCTGTGGCATCCCCAAGCCGCTGGTGCAGCGTTACTCCGAGGACTTGGAGCAGCCTGTGAAGGACGTGGCCTCCACCCTGGACCAGCTCCGAGTCAAAGAGCTCCGTAAACAACACCGCATGGCCGTAAGAGAACAGCACTGATTTTCCAAAAAGACATTTAAATCAATGGAGACTATGTTTAGGAGTTATAAAGCTAGATAAAGTTCTGCTTTTCTAAGAATTAACAATGAAGACTGGCCCGTTATAACAGTCATTTCCCTCCAGCCAATGATGGCCCCCTGATTGAGAAGCTATCATTATTATGCCTGCCTAAACATTAAACAAGCTGGGTGAGATATACTTTTAAAAGGGAATTATTTATGTATTATGGGTTTTAGTAGACTAATGCTGTCTGAAGACCTAATAGGTTTATCTTTACCCCATATTGATGGCATGAATTGGCAGGAAAAATCCAAAGTTGCCTGAAAAGCTCTAGTCAGTTGGTGGGACAAAACAAATATTTCCCCACCATTTGGCAGCCACAGTTTTCGCCTTAGGAAGCTCAAACTAAGCATGAAGGTCAAGTGTTTGTCAAGTTGTGTGTCTGAATGCATGGTCGCAGATTTGGTGAATTAATGCTTGTTTACCACTAATCTATATGTATGTTCAGTAAAGTGACGACATCAGAGTAGCTACAGTAACTCATCCCTTTTTACCCCATTTTGTCACTCAGATTCCTTCTGGAGGTTTGACAGAAATGTGCCGGAAGCCTCTGCCCTCAGCTAACATCAGCACAGTTTCTGATTGGCTCACCTCCATCGGCCTCCCCATGTACGCCACACCTCTGGCGGCGGCGGGAATCGACACGCTGAGGGGCGTGGCCTTGTTAACAGAGAGCGGTGTGTGGGAGGCGGGGGTGCGAGATGAGAGACACGCCCGCCGCCTGGTCAGTGAGGCCCGATTGGTCGGCGCCCACAGAGAGGGGCAGTCCTAACATGCTGCTGCAGTCGGATAAAATAACAGGTATCAACTCACTGGTCAGCATCATTTTTTTTTTTTTTTTAACACATGGTCAGTGTGCGGCCAAAGAGAAATCGGCCACAGGACTCGCAGATCGAACGAGTGACCGCAGCATTGCAGTACTTCCTGTCTCGCATGTGTCAAAGACTGAAAGTTTTTTCTCAAATGTTTACGGCACTGAGGAGATTCTCCTGCAGCCAAGTCAAGATATCAGATGCCTTTTTAAAAGAAGACTGTAGACTCACTCTGTGGGATGGCTTCCTTTCTGAAGACACCCCCAAAGTCTTAAAAATAAAGACTTGGATCCGCCTTGAAGGAAGATAGCACACTCTTTTGTAGGATGGATGTTTTTTAAATACAGAAAGACGTTTTACTTCCTGCATATTTCATAAGTGCTTCGTTTTCATCTTTTGTGGCGAGGCAACGTTCTATGACTGTCTTTTAAGGAAGTCGCTCGGCCAAAGTGATTTACTCCTCATTCAGCGTTTCATTCACACTAATGGATTCACAATGACAACATTCACTTAATATCTGGACTTTTATCAACTAAATACATACAACAAACTATGATGAACGGTGGTTTTGAGATGGCTTATTTTGAATCATGTTTCTGTATTATAGCATAACGCATATCTTCATTTTAAAATGATTTATATGTTAAACATTTTGTTTGCCTTTTGAATGTTACAGCCTTATTTTGAGGCCCGCTCTCAGTCATTTCTAAGCTGAAACCGCTGACATCCCAGCTTTATATTTCATATTTTATTAAAAGTCCTATCTCACTGCATATCTTGGATGCACAGCCTGCGCCCGTTTGAATATAAGTCTTCGAGAAAGCTCCAGTAATCACAATCAGCTTTCACAGAAACAAAACATTCCCCGTGTATCCAAGAACATTTTAAGTTGCCTTACCATTATGAATGAAAAGTTTCATTAACCCTGTATAGTATGGACTATACCACCAGGCTGAACTGCTTTAAGTTCAAGCCTTTTTGCTCTGAATGTGTCACACTCAACCAGATCACTTCAGCCACACATATGGATGTGGAGCACAAAACATGCCTCTGATGGATTGTGGTTTCAAAGATCACATGACAATTAAACGACTAAACCCCAGACACGACACACGCGTCGTCCCATGCTAAACACACAGTTGGTGTGCATGCTCCATGCAGAGGGTTGTGGGAGAAAATAGAAATGTTCCAAAGAGACGGCTGGCATCTCGGCTGTCATATCTGGAATTTATTGGACTGTCTACTGTTTGGTTTTAGTTTTTGATTTATAGCTTGATAATAAGCTGTTTGGGACTTTATTATACTGTAGCTATAGCAAACACATTGAGGATAGATGTAGTTCTATCAGGTGAAAATCTGACCTCTAAGGCCAGCATACACCATGACGCTAAATAGTTTTGTAAATCAGGGAAACAGTGTCAGGATAGCCTGTTACCAAAAGTTTGGGCAGAAAACAAAAACAACCAGATGCGTATCGCTCTTCCATTTCACACTGCAGAAAATGGAGCTAACATGTGTGTGTTATTTCTATTATTTCTAACAGCAGAGTTCTTTCATACTAAGAACTGATCTGAAGACTTCATATTTAAAATTTGACCAAGTGGTATTGCTAAAATTAGAGGATGTTTTTTTTGCAGTGGGCACTTGATAGGTAGAGGTTTGATGCCTTTTATTTCTTCAATCAAAAGTGGTGCTCTGAAAAAGCGTGATTGGGGCTCATTTTTTTAAAAGTAAGAGACTCAAGAAGTGTTTTGTAAAGAATGAAAATACTGACACTGTAAATGCACTTTAGAGGGTAAATCTAGCTGTTTTGTAGGCAGAATTGGCTACATTTTGTTCACAGGTCCATTAATGGACAATTGTTGTCAGGTATTTCAAAGGGTTTCAGTAGGATATGCTGGTATTTTATTTTAGTTTTGAGTTCCCAATGCCAAGTTTGCTAACATCCACGGGTTAACCAGTTCCAGTTACTCACTTCCAGTTTGTTTTGCAGTCTTGTAAAAATAAATGATTAATTACATATATGAAATGCTTAGCAAAACCTGCACATTCTGTATATGTAATTGATATTTATATAACTTATTTTTGCCTCTTTTTTTTTTCATATTGACTGTAATTAGCTGTACTATATGAATAGCAATACCTTCCTGCAAAATGCATATTGCTTTAGCCAGTGAGGAACTACAGTATGTATTGTAAAATATGTGTACAAATTATTTTATTTGGTTTTCATCTACCTAATGATTGTCCATACAGATTTGCTTGTGTATTGAAAGAACAAAAGTAATGTCCATAACTATTTGTCATTCTGAAATATAATAAAAAACTGTTTCTTGCCATACACTGGCCTTCTGATTGTCACTTCACACACACACACACACACACACACACACACACACACACACACACACACACACACACACACACACACACACACACACACACACACACACACACACACACACACACACACACACACACACACAGGTAAAAAAAAAATGCAAGACTCTGAATAACAACTACTGTACTTACTAGACAGTCAAAGCAAGGAGCTCAAAAACAGAGTTTTGCGTTGTCTGGCTTGTAATGCATCATTTAAAAAAAAAAAAAAAAACTTCTCACATCTGTTCATCGGGACGAAGACAGGAGAGTCTGGTTCGTGTTGTAGAGCAGCTGTTATCAATGAAACCACAAAAAGGATTTTCCAATCTTATTCATGTCAAAAAGCCCCAAATAGGTGGGCACCAGACCGTGAACCCAATTTGATAAAAATGTCCCAACAGACAGCCTCTGAGATTGAACTCTCATAACTCCTCTCTGCGCTGGTGTTTGGCATTCTTCTGAGTGGAAAAAAACACAACTGAACAAGCATTTATTTCAGGAAGAAAAGCAACAAAACTCTTTTATTGGGTCGTCCTTGGTTAGTAACTTTTTAGAAAGCAGGCGCTGAGCAATAATTGTCCTTCACACAGATGTAATGTGCGGTTAGCTTCCACTTCACGACTCTCTCTCCAACAGATACAATTGCTCATCCATTTTAAACTTTCTCAGGAGGAAAGGACGAGACCGTAATGCAATGAAGGCTTTTTGGCTCGGGTTTATTCACATTACTCTGAACCGTTTTCCTCTGCGGCGTTCATGCACGGCTTCATTTGTGTCCGAATACAATCGATGATGAGAATCTGCTGTGGGATCACAATATTTAGAAGCAAAGATATTCAGAATGAATTTCAATATTCCTTCAATAAATCAAACAATCAGTTTTGAGCGTTTGTGTCAGGATCATTATTTCATAATTATTAGCAGGCACAGAAGAGTGAACATATTCATTATGATGCCAATGATTCCTCACCAGTAAAGGTGAGAGTCAGACTTTTATTGATCCTTATTGGGACATTCAATTGCTACAAATTTCCCTCGAGAGAGATCTGAAGTCACTTAAGGAGTTCCTCTAAAAGTTTGTGATGTTGTTGAAGTCTGACTTAAAGGGGACCTATCATGCAAAATGCACTTTGTGATGTCTTTTATACATAAATATGTGTCCCCGGTGCGTCGGGGAACTCACGCAGCGTCATAAAATAAAACCCTCTCTCTTTTCCTCCATACCCAAATCTTTTAAAAACAGGGGTACAACGAGCGGATACAGATTTGCTGCCGATCTGACGTCAAATCGGCAGCGGACCCACAGAAAATTGCTATCAGAAACAATGCCTGACGTGTTTTGGACGTAATCTCATTTTTGTTTACATTAGCAAGCCTCGCTAACACTCAGAGCTAACCTGTACTGTAGAGCACATGTGTTTTAAAAAGCAGGAAATAAAAAAAGGAACTCACCTTGTGATAAACCTGCAAGAGAAAAAGCATTTGAGCTTCATACTGTTTCAGAAATAATCTTTGATGTGGTTTAGAACAGGATGGCGTTTTATCACAGCAGAATTTAACTTTATCTCCGGTAGAATTCTGATCAGGCATTAGCTCCGCCTCCTCTTCTTTTTTTTTCAAGCTAAGCACCCAAAATCCGCGTTTCTCTAACAGGGCTGCAAAAGAGGGGTATGAGCAGTATGAGGCATGGCTACAATGGGTGAACTGTTTGGTATTTTAAGCAAAAAACTTCACAGACATGTTTTGTATAGGTATGGCCCTACAATATATGTTTCCAATATAGCATAATAGGTCCACTTTAAGTTTGACGGCAAATCCAACTATGTGAATTTGTAGCCCCCATGTTTATTCCCCTTGCACACGATCCTATTGATTTTCACTATGCTAGGCTAAACTCATTTAAGTGAGCGCAGTGGGCCATGCTCAAATGTGCGATTGGGCCATAAACCCATAATGAATTCACACTTTTTCTGCCTAGCTTGCAAAATACTCTACTCCTACGATTCACAGATCATTTACCTGAGGAAAATCCGAGGCAATGGGCCCATCGTAGAATGATTGTGCTCTTTAATACATTTAGTCTTTTAAGCCAAAGTGTTTCTCACAGCCGTTGTTGCTCCCTTGACTACTGTATCCGTCACCAGTGAAAGTCTCAGGCGAGGTTGTTATTGTGTTGAATGACGGTTGTCTGTCGCCTAAGTGCAGTTGTAGTCTAATGGTGAGTTCTGGCCCCTGCTGTGGAACAATATATGGCTCAGTGTTCCTTACAGCTGGCCTCAGGGGAAGGAGAAAGTTTAAACACACACACACACACACACAGAGAAGTGAGCAGATACTGATCTCACCTTCTTTTCAACATATCAAAGATATACGCCCGTATCTAATGTAGTGATAACACAGCCTGTTCCATTTTATAATAACCACAGGAAATAGGTCACTGTGATGTTTCTATTAACAATGTAGACATTTCAATATCATGTCATATTTCAAAATCATTAATAAACTACTATAGACCTTTATTGTCATCATATTGTTGAGGCTTTGGTTAAGGATAAGGCCACCACTAAATGAAACTTCCACTTCACTGAAATGAAACATGTAAATTCGCAGTTAACTCTTTCCACAGTCTCCTATCAGTCTCTTGGTTGCTACAAATCAAACTCGTTTCAATAAATGCCCACCGACTACTTGCCCCCTCCCTCCCCGAACACTGGGTGACGCTGTTTTACGCACTTGATTCCAAACCAAATCTTGTATGAGGTGGAAGTTTTTCCTCTTTCCACGTTCAGTAATCTGACACCCAAAAGTCTCCGAGCAGAAGGATGGACCCTTAACTCGGCTGGAAGCACGGAAGGAAGGAACACTTATCCAACGAGGGCAAACGAGAGGGACCGAGCAGAAGCGAAACGCTGTGCGCAGAAAACAACCCCGTGGCTGCGGCAGCTGAGGAGAGCCTGCGCGTCTCCAAAACAACTGGCCGTCCGACTCAAATGCTCTCAAAGCGACAAGTTTCACTTTCCACATGCGGATGGGTGACTTTTCACGGCACTTTGTGAGGAGGAGATGATGAAGAATTTCAGCAGCAGTTCCCTTCAAAGCAACAACAACCAGACTCCCAACCACGTTAGAGAGCGAAACAACAGAAAGTACAGCTTACTCTCTGCCCTACCGCTGCGATTTTCCTTGCGAGGTTATGGTTTCTGCATGGCTACGCTGTTCCTCTTCTGTTTCGCCTCTCTGTTTTACCAGCTGAACGGAGGACCCCCTAAAATCCTGCTGGACATCCGACAGTATCTCGGTAAGAACTTTTCATTTTCCTCTGCTGGCTTAAGCGCGTCATCAAAGATAGTTTTTTGAATAGAAGTTGCACTGAAAGTCTACACGTCCTGCTTCGGTTAGATCTTTGAATGAAAGTTGATCCAAAAGAAAAGAGGATTATCAACGTTTGAACCTCTCGCTGGCTACTGGGAAAAAGTCTCTTTTGTGAATGCAACCGGAGGCTAAGTGTCCCAGCGACCTCATTTAGTTCATTTATTTTCATCATTCATAACCCTTAAACCACCAAAGTTGCTCCAAGCGAACCTACTTTAGACGCATTCAACTAAATGCGTAAATACTTATATTTGAATGTGCACAGCTGTCTCTGTTTTTAAAATGTAATATCCCTCCGTTCTTTAAAAGTCCACTAATTCACACTAAAAACCTAAAGGAATGCACTCCTCTTTGCAACATTTGAATATCAGTTCTGACTTGTCCGAGGTAGATTGGGATCTATTATGGTAACAAGAATTTAGCAACTGTAAAGATTCATACTGTAAGTGGATTATGACTGACACCTCTTCTTGTACAGCCAGCTGATGCGCTCCAGCCACACGGCGCTCATTACGCACGACTGGCACCGGTGGAACAAGCGCAACAGTGTTCGAAAGGCTAAATGTATGCTGGTGTTTTAGTAGAGGAGAAGATGCTATGACTTACTGTAGACCTGATGATTCTTTAATTGATACAGTAAAGGGAATGTGGAGTTGTCTGATATGAAAACAGTTGGCAACTTCAGAACAAATACATTTCAAATGCCTACCCTGAAGGGAACACTTCAAAATGAGATTTCCCTAGATATGACTTGGCACTTATATTACTATCATTATGCTTTACCAAGTGATAACAAGAAGAAACGATAAGACATATGACAGCTCTGTTCTGATGTCAGGCTGGATTAGATATATCAATATTTTAAAAAGGAAGTGTGTGCTTCAGTGGCTGATACACTTCTTATCGACATGTCTGTCTGTCACTGCTACAACTCGGGCTGCAGCTGGGACATGTGTGTGTGTGTGTTGAAAGGAGTTTGTGTTCCTACCTATTTCTCGCAGAGGGCTTGAGGCTTTATGACGTGATAAACATCTGGAACAGAATAAGAGTCACTCACCAAGTCAGCCACTAATCCCGTGGGTCAGATTGGTTTCCTGTGGACACACACATACACTCACACACACAAAACAGGCATGAACACACACGCTTGCACACAGCAGCTGTCAGAAAATCATTGTGATTTGGTCAAGTGTTGCAAAACAAACACATACATTTGCCATATGTAGAATATAAAGTACAGGAACAATGTTTTTTTAAATAATGTGCTGAACAAATTGAAAGCCAGTTTTAAAGCTTTATTTTCATCTAAAAATGCAGCGTTAGTGCCCGTGCAGACTCTATATACACACTGAAGCATAGTCACTCCAAAGAAACATTGCAGCCCTAAATGTGATTTAGATGTTGCAGCAGTCAATACAATACATTATTAATTTTCAGTAATTTCCGAAAGCCACTGTAATGGGCACAGTCTGACTGCTGTAATGTATCTTACACTTATTCCCTCACTAAGAAGCACTCTGCTTCTAAGAATGCTCTGCAACCTAAAGGTACACACACACACTTAAGTTATAAATTGAATCTCAAACC